GCTTCTCTATTCATCACAAAAATGGACCATCTATGTACCGCAAAATCATGAGTGCAAATATAATTTTCAAGCTAACTGCAGTCTTTCACTGCAGCTAAGTTAATAATGCCAATAAAATGCTTGTATGTGCACAGATGGCTGATACAGGTAGGGCTTACAAACAACAGGGAATTGACTACATATTGCACTCTTGTAATGGTAAAACGTTTTAGAGGTCTATCTATCATGGCTCCTCATCAGAAGAATTGACTACTGTACAGTGATTAACCAGGTGCTATAAGTGCAAGTATTGTTCCCATTATCATCATTACTATCTTTAACAACTAGCTGTACATAAAACAAGATTCTTACCAAACAGTTTCTTCACTACCAAGGTGTAACAATACATCCATTGATGTAAGGCCTATTGTCACATTGTTCACCACAAGGGTGCAAGGATCTGACACAAAATGGATCCGCTTGTATATAAAGATAAAAAAGTAAGGGTTGGATTAACAAAACTTTCAATTAACAGCTGTAAACAGGTTTGTTAGGTTTGCATATTATCTTAATGTTCTGACAATAGGAACTGACAAAATCACATACTGTTCTTATCCACTTACTGGTGATGACTAGAAGAAACATAAAAAGCATTGAGAAACTACACCTAAAGCACAACGTAATCTTGGGAAAACAAATCATTCATACCTCAGAAACACCACCTTCTGCTTTGGATATTCTGCTCTCAAATGGGGGTTGAGGATAAACAAAGTGGTGATGCACGTCTCGATGGGATGGCACAAATACAACTGATGTGGTGAGTCTGAGGGGATAAGAGATAGAAAATTGTGGCAAAATCTTAACTCCCCCCCCCCCAAAAAAAAAAAAAGGGCTATTGAAATTAAGTTGTAAAAATCCACATCCTCTGAGCCAAAAAAGGTGTTCAGATGCCTCAGCCAAAAAACTATAAGAAATTTTCATAAGAAATTCAGCAGCAAAACTGTGTTTCTTTAAATGCAACACACAAGTTTTGCAGAAACTTCTTCTCTAGTCAGGATATTTAAAAGCTAAGCTTCCTCTAAAAATTCTTCTAGCTGAATTCCTTATTCAGTTAGAGTGTTCTCCTTCCCTATATTTAAAGTTTTCTTTTACTATTGTACTTGATTACTTGTTGTTGTACCCACCACGAATAGCTCAGCTAATTGATGGTAACATAACATTTTAAATTATATTCCAACTGAATAAACTGTTGCTTTTCTTGTTCTAAAATCTTTCATTTAGGAAATTATGGATGAAATACACAGTTGTCAAATTCGTAACCATCAAGGATTGGGTTTTACCCTGGGGAATGTCAAAGTCCTTATTTGATCAATAATATAATTATTATTCTATTAATGAACCATATTTTTTCAGGTATTGTATACATGTTGGATTAAAAAATTATAAAAATTAATGAGAACGGTCAAAGGGAAGCACTGCAGAGTAACGGAGGGGACATGCACCATTCCTGACATTGACTTACGCCACTGAGTGAAAGAACGTAAACAATGTACAGGATATGAATTTCATAAATGATGGGCCATCTGTTTGTGCTATGCCCTATACATGTGTTTCTGGACACCTTTTCAAACCTAACATCCAAACCTTTAGCGTACATAGGAGTTGAACAGGGTAGACCAGGTTAGGAATGTACCTTTGTAATGAGTTTAGATGACAGCCTGCCAGTTATTCAGTGGTATGATATTTTATTGATGATGGATGAACAACTTAAGTTTATTTCCCAGCTCCTAAATCACATAATGCCAAAGAAATTGTTTTCAAGATAGACACACCAGTTTGTATCATTGCCAAAAAACCAATTACTTTGGGCCAGAAGTTCACTTGATGACAAGGAGAGCCGGATAACAAGTGATCGATGAAGGCCGTGCGCTGGAAAATTATCCGTTTTCATGGCTAATTCCTCACAAAAGGCAAAAGACGATTGCACTACGTAGAAAGTGCTTCGCAATACGTATTCTTGGCGAGAAAAATTGCAGCGATGTGGTGCAAATCAGGAGTTTTAATAGTTAACCACGAGAAAACATGTGGCATTAAGAGGTCATAACAGACTATGTTACTTTCCGTTTGGCGAAACATAGTTATCTGAAGGAGACTGAGTTTTCCTCAGTTTGAGCTGTCATTTTCTTTGAAAGTCAAATACCAGTTCACGTTTCAAAACTCTCTTTTCATTTTTCTTGCCAACAATAGACAAAAACACAGGGTTTGTCTCAAGAAATGCAGTCCAAATACAGACATGCACTCATGTCACGCTATTTATGTTGCGTTATCATGTCACACAGGGTGTCGCGAGGTGGGATTGAAAGTAATTGTTTTTTGTGTACACTTGCAATCTTTGCTACGCAGTCCTTAGATTTTTATTAAATTGGTAATGAATTAACCTTCACTTTTCCATACTTTCGATATTGAACGCAGTGACGGCCGCTCCTCACTTAACGCTCCATATTTCTGTGGCCGGCCAGTGATTATCCCCACTACGTGCCAATCCTTACCCTACCCGTGATTGTTTGCGCCTTAACAATCAGTTTAAGTGAAGAAGAGAAATATTCACGTTATTAAAAATATTTTCAGTATGTATACCCTTGAAATTCACCAAAAGTTGTATACATGTGCATGAGTTTCGGCGTTAGGTTTTAGCTTGTAAACCAAGACGTCAATTCTTGATATCGCAGCCCTTTTATTACGTCATCACGTAATTCCAATTGGCCCTATAATTTGGTCGTGAATAAGTCAATGTCACCCCCACCACCAATAACATAATTATGTCATTGATTCCTTTAATTTCAGTTAAAATCATTGTCATACAGTGCCTAACTCGTGTGCAGTAGCACAATTTTGCATTCAGACAATGAGGGACAAAAGTGTTGAGACATTTCTGTAAAATGGCCTCTTTTTGCATAGTGGACATACCTATCCCCTTCCCCTGTCTGCCCCAACCCCTTCCCCCCAAAATCAATGTTGTATTTTGGACCCTCAAGTCTTTCTTTTACTTCAGACAACATTGATTCGGGGGGTGAGGGGATTTATGGCATTTAAAAGGAATGAAATAATAAATAAATTAAAGGTTTGTTAAAAGCACCCATTTTAAAGTGTGTCAACTACTTTTGTCCCTGATTGTTGGTGCAGATTGGTGCAACTTGGTGCAGTTTGGTGTAACTTCGTGCAGTTTAGTGCAACTTGGTGGAGTTTAGTGCAAATTGGTGCTACTTGCTGCCTTATGTGCAGATTGGTGCAGTTTGGTGGAACTTGGTGCAGTTTGGAGCAACTTGGGGAGTTGGTGAACCTTGGTGGAGTTTGGTGCAACTTGGTGCCCTCTGGTGCAGATTGGTGCTTTTTGGTGTAGATTGGTGCAACTTGGTGCAACTTGGTACGGTTTAGTGGAACTTGGTCGGATTGGTGCAGTTAGGGCAACTTAGTGGAGTTTGGTGCAGATTGGTGGGGTTTCATGCAACTTGGTGCTTTTTGGTGCATATTGGTGCAACGTGGTACCCTCTGGTACAGATTGGTGCAACTTGGTACATTTGGTGTAACGTGGTGCAGTTTGGAGCAACTTGGTGGAGTTTGGTGCAGACTGGTGCGGTTTGATGCAATTTGGTGCAACTTGGTGCAACCAGGTGCAGATTGGTGCGGTTTAGTGGAACTTGGTGCGGATTGGTGCAGTTTGGTGCAACTTAGTGGAGTTTGATGTAGGTTTCTGTGGTTTCATGCAATTTGGTGCAACTTGGTGCTTTTTGTACAGATTGGTACAGCGTGGTGCCCTCTCGTACAGTTTGGTGGAACTTGGTACTACTTGATGCAGTTTGGTGTAACTTGGCGCAATTTGGTGCAGTTTGGTGCACTTTGGTACAGATTGGTGCAACTTGGTGTCCTCTGGTGCAGATTGGTGGAACTTGGTGCAGTTTGGTGCAACTTAGTGGAGTTTGGTGCAGATTGGTGTGGTTTCATGCAATTTGGTGCAGTTTGGTGAAACTTCGTGCAGATTGGCGCAACTTGGTGCTTTTTGGTGCAGTTTCGTGGAAGTTGGTGCAGATTGGTTCAACTTGGTGGAGTTTGGAGCAACTTTGGAGTTGGAGTTTGGTGCAAATTGGTGCCTTATGCGCAGATTGGTGCAGTTTGGTGGAACTTGGTGGAGTTTGGTGCAACGTGGTGCCCTATGGGCAGATTAGAGCAACTTGGTGGAGTTTGGTGCAGATTGGTGTCCTTTGGCGTACCTTGGTGCCCTCTGGTGCAGATTGGTGCCGTTCTGGTGCTTTTTGGTGCAGATTGGTGGAGTTTGGAGCAAGCCGGAATGAAGGTCCAAATGACAAACGTTTTTCTTTGAACACAAAGCTAAAAACTACATATTACTGGTTAACTGTGAAAATGTCCATACTAAATAGAAGTTCATGCTGTATTTACAACCAGTTCAAATACTCTCATTACATTGTGAAATCATGACCAGGTAAAACGGGCTACTTGACGCTAATAGAACGCTCTTACAAAGCTACAACTGATGAGTATGTAAGAATCTCCGCCAACTCGATTTACAACAATACTGCAAGATTACAAAAGGCTACTTGACGCTAATAGACCGGTCTTACAAAGCTACAGGTGATGTGCATGTAAGAATCTCAGCCAAGTCGATTTACAACAGTACTGTGCTTAAAATATGGCATTATGCGCAGTAAAACGTTCTAGAAACACGAGTTTAATCACTTTTTACAGTATGTCTCTTCGTCTTGGCATCCAAAATCTAGTGGGAAATGGCAGGATCACAACAGTATTTCTTGGTGGAAACATCAGAGGAACGAACCCTCATTAAATCTGCCAAGCGTCCTTGTGAGATTAGTGTACCTACATTACTCTTAAGCTGGTTCATCGCCGAGAAGCTCCTTGCACACTTGGCTTTGGATGGTGACAACGTCATCATAAGCTCTAAAAGTACGAGGCAGTCTTTCACGTCATCAGGTTTTGCCACTAGAAGGTTTGCAAATACATCAACTGGATTGTTTGCCCTTTGTCTGCTGAGTCTGGTACACAGCATGGGTCACTGATCAAGGATACTTTCCTTCTCTTTCTCAGTAAGGAGGTACCCAAAGTACTGAACGAGGGAACGATTTCATTATGCCCATAGGCTGCGACGGTCTGAGGCATCTCTCGTTGGTCTAATATTCTGAACAAGCTGCAGGGTTTCTCCTGAAGATTTCCAAACCTTGACTTCAAATAAGTCAGGACTTTCGTAAGAAAAGTGTCAAACTGTTGATCAAGCATGTTGCCTGCATGCGTCAGTTTTAGTTGGTGTCCTTTGTCCTTCCCACAGATGAAGACTGCTTTTTTCTCAGAATAACTCTCCATAAACTTTCTGTAATGACCTCCCCTTTGTAGCTTCCACTCTTCTAACATGATTACAGTCGTATCTAGTTTTGCAACTATGTCTGTTATGCAAAGTTTATCGTGTTGGAATGATTTACTCAGCTCTGACAAAATCTTCATCACATCCAACAAGAAGTACAGGTGTTTGACAAACCTCTCAGACAGTCATTGTTTCAGAATTCCTTTGGCTAGTGCCCCATCTTCACCAGTGGATCCAGTTTTATGCTGCAGGTGCATAACAGTAGTGACATAGTGCTTCTCCAAGGCAGTAACAACAAGGTATCTGCAGACCGCATCTTCATCGATTATATTGGCAATCTCATTAACGTCATTTTGGAGAATACTAATAAAACTTGTATACCTCTTTAACTGTATCCTCAAATGTTGGAAGGTAAGGGCACCTCTTCACAGCATCAATTACAGCCAGTTAAAGTTTGTGAGCTACACAGTGGATGATGCATAGTGGCTGACCAACTTTATCCCCCAGCTTCTTACTCACTCCACAGTTGGCCCCATCAAAATTGCAGCCTACTAACTTTCAACTCAACACACTTTCATCAACCTGTACAGCTTCAAGTCCTTTATTAATAGCATTTGTTATACCACTAGCATCGGCAGACTGAAGGGAGACAAGGTCAGAAAACTGTGTCGATGGTATCCCATTTGAATCAGTATAACATACAAAAACAGTCAAATGCTCTGTGACACTCTTGTCTGTGGCAGCGTCTGCTAAAACACACAAAAACCTGGCATCCCTGATTTCCTTTGCATACTTCTCCTGTTCAATAGCAGCAATGCTAGACACAAACTCTTTAAATTTCATTTCATTGCGATAATTATTTCCTACATCTAGCCCACTCCTCTCTTGTAGATCACACAAACCCGTGAATTTTTTGAATGCGAGACTTTCCTTTGCTACATAATGAGCAGTACTGAACAATCTTTCCATTCTTCATTTGGTTTCTTCATCCTTTGCAGATATTGTCTTCATCATTGTCGCCAGGGGTTTGTCTGCATTTTCTTTGTCAACTTTCCATTTGTTCAAGCACTTTCCACGGTCGCTAGGTATGTCATGGGACTGGATTTATCACAAAAGTTTGGATAAGCACGGCATACCTAAATGAAAATGTCAATTGTGAACAGCTATAACAACAAACTGATTTAGACAAATCCTCGTAACATGTTACACTCAATTGTGAACACAATTATAGCTCTATTTGAAAGGTTATATAAGACGCCTGATGGTAAGTTCCATAATTAATAAACAACTTTGTATTAAGAGGTTAACCAGAGGTCTCGTATGGTAGAGGTTAGCGGTATGCTAGGGCTGTTGCTTTCTGCGAAAGAGAATTTGTCATTAGCCATAGTCTACGGTATTTTACAGTACTGTATTGTAGCTCACACTTTGTGATGGTGCCTGTGATTATTAATTATCAGACTGACTGAAATCAAATTCACTTAATGCTCTTCACATACCTTGCAAAACATTACAGCGTTGATGGAATCATGCTCAACCCAAGGATACACTTCTTTCCAGTGGGCCTGAAAGACGCGCTGCCTCTTTATTTCATACTTGTCTTTCCTTGTTTTGTCATTCCTTTCTTTTCCTTCTGGTGAAGCTTTTAACTGTGCCTTCTCTTCATAAAATGACACATTTATTAGGCTCTTGCACTTTGAAGAAGTGAGCCCTTGCACCCGCCATGTAAGTGCTAATTGTTGTGATGCAAATTAGTTGGTAAGCGCAATAGCGGTCACAGACACTGGACGAAAGCCAGACGTGCCTTGAAGTCCGGCACAAATGGTTCAATTTGATCGGGAAATTATAAAGCTTTTTACGAGCTGATCTCTTAGAGAGGAAAAGGAGGTTTCCCTCTTGGGTTGGGGCTGAAAAAATTTGTAGCAGACTTGAATTTCGGCGAAAAGACAACATTTTCGTTGCCACTGGTCCAGGACCCAGCCAGATTGAAATGACCAGCCTTGACTTCGCCTTATGAGGGGAGTAACAGTGGTTATGCAATAAAGCAAAAAAAACCGTAAAAACGACAAGCAGACACTGAAACACAGTGGAATACATCGCAGGTAAGTCTTTTTTATTCATTTCATTGAAGATTTCAGTATTTTATTTCTCATACAAAGTCTCTTATTTTCAACGGTCGCCTGTAACGCGACACCGGCCCGTCCAGCAGAAAGGTCACGCGTCACCTATGGTAAGTAAATTACTTTACACTCTTTCCTCATAACGTGAGTTTGGGCTGCCCTTGTTTGGTGCAACTTAGTCCAGACTGGTGCAATGTGGTGCAGATTGGTGCAGTTTGCTGAATCTTGGTGTACTGCATGTTGGTGCAGATTGGTGTAGTTTGGTACAACTTGGTGTAGATTGGTGCAACATGGTACAGTTTGGAGCAACTTGGTGAAGTTTGGTGCAGATTGGTGCCAATTTTTTTGCAATTTTAGCAAAAAATGGTCATAAGAAAATTTTGTGAGACACTTACTTGCACATATCGCAAAAAATAGCAAAAATAACAAATTTCAAAAGTTGGTTGAGTTTGATTGTTTGGGTGAACGTAGTCCTGAATAGGACTGTTGTTGTTGACAGTGACTGACGTTTCGACAACCTGTGCGGTAGTCATCTTCAGAGTCAAAGTGAGTTGTATGATGTTCGTTGATGGTATTATACTCTGGTTATTGACCTGATCGGTCAATTACATTGCGATGTTTTTGGTCGTCTGTCAGTTAAGCTGTGATGTTATTGGCTATGAAGACTCGTAATGTAATTGGTGCGTTTCGAACCATCTATTGTCACAGTCAAACAGTCGTCTATTGTTACTCAAATTTTCAGATGTCCAGTCGTTCTCTCGTAGTTAATTTTGCTTGATTTTGTCAATAAGTCGTTTGTAAGGTGCCAGTAGCTGTTGACTACAATTCAGTGGCGTTTGTTCTAAGTTAGTAAACCAGCTTTCTAAATTGGGTCGTTGATAGTAGTCTGTAGAATACGTAATACATGTCGCAGAGTCCCCAGTCGATTTGATGTTTCATCTGTAAATGGTTTTCAGCAGTGTGATTGTTGACGTCACCATTTCTCATTGCTCGTTTGTGTTCAGTCAGTCGTGTGCTAAAGTTTCTGCCTGTTTCACCAATGTAAGTAGCCTGGCAGTCGCACCATTTGATCTTGTATACTGCTCCCTATCGGTCCTCTGGTTTGTCTGTCGTTGACATTAGTAAGTAGTCCTTGTAAAGTGGTTATCGGTTTGTGTGCAACACATATATTGTAAGATTGTTGTAGTATACGTGTGATAGTTTCAGAGGTGCCTTTGATGCAGGGTATAGTCGCTGTCCTAACAGGGCCAGAGTTGACGTTGGTCTGAGTGTTGGAATCAGTGTTACTGTGAATGTTCTGTCTAACAAAATCCGTGTTTAGTTGTTTTTACTAAAAAAGTTGTTTAGGTAGTCAGTCTCTCTTGTAGGTTGTCAGGTGCGCTCGTCTCGTCAAAGACCATATGTCTGTAGCCTTGTGAGAGGTCAGGTTGTACGGTGACTGGTAACACTGATTCCAACACTCTGACCAACGTCGACTCTGGTATTAATCAGAGTTTACAACCACCAACTGACGTGATACAACTCACTTTGACTCTGTAGACAACTACCGCGCAGGTTTTCGGAACGTCAGTCACTTTCAACAACAACAGTCCTATTCACGACTACGTTCACCAGCATGAACATACTCAGCCTACTTATGAAATGACTCACAAGTTCAAACCTTTCATGGTATTCATTTTATGTTGCTCAAACTCTTCTCTTCGTTTTGATAAAAAAATTAACTGACGTGATAATACTCAGTTTGACTCTGAAGACAAATACCGCACAGGTTTTTCGAAATGTCAGTCACTTTCAACAACAACAGTCCCATTCAGGGCTACGTTCTCCAGGTTAGCCATGATGTTTATTTTGAAACATTCGAAGTCCACATGAAGACAACTTACCATCCTGCGAAAGCTACAAAATCAAAACATCAAAAGCTCTGGGCACAATGCATGCTCGGCGCTTCTTTATCACTGGAACGTCCAGGAACGATCGATCTATGACAATTGTTGTTTTCATATCGAGAGTTTTCGTGCCAGCCGATTAATTACGAAAGTGTCTACACATGAGTGACACATTTGCATATCGCAGACCACACAATAACTCGTTCCCTACGCTACGTGTAATCTACGAGCTAAAAAAGTGTCAGAGCAAACTCCAACCAAAACTGTAAACTCAAACCAAAACTGAACAGAATGACTCAATCCGCACGAAGCTATTTATTCAATTATTTCACTTTTAAATATCTTTAATCGTTTTCATCGCCTTAGCGTTTCTTTTATCATTCACGCTGTAATTTTTTCGTATTGTCTTTAGTCAGTATCTCATTAGCCTTTTCCCAATTGCGTATAAGCACATGCAAAGTTTTTACTTCTGAACCTGAAAATGACCATCACACGGTCGAAATGCCGTTCTTTTTTAACATTAATTTTCGAAACATTAGTTGATTTAAAAAATTATATATAAATCAAAAACATACCCCTCTGTAGCTTTCACAATCTGTTGCACTTGTCTTTCGAATAAATCTTCATATGGCTCCTCAAGATCACCGTTCTAATGCAGATAAAATAAAATGATATGGATGACTCCAGCAAAACACTCACAGGCAATACAAACAAGACTCTTTACTTAATCTATTTAACGGCTTACTCTTTTGCTAGTGTGACAGTGAAAGCCAACTGTGATAACAATAACAATTTAACTTACAGAACAAAGTCATCAATGTTGCCTTGTGCAAAATGCATTGAAGGGAATGACCCCGAACATTTCGATGTATTTAATTCTAAAACGAGCCAATACCATGGTTATAATACTCAAAATGGTTACATATGCACAAAGTGAGCAGGCCAAGAACGGAATGGGGCAGAACAAAACATATCATAAAGCAATTAAAGGGGCTGTGTCAAGGCAGTCCTTTTCATTTTGTTTGATTTTGCCAATTACTCGCCCTCAATCGCTACGGAACTTAAAGTAAGCAAAGAAATTACATGTAAATGACAAAATCAGAGATCCGAGACAAACAAATATGTCTCCTGAGCATTATTTTTGAAGTTGCAAGCAGCAGGAATCAACTTTGAAAAACTGTTAGGCTGAACGGTTTTCAAAACCCTAATTTCAATCCGTTTTAATCTTCTTCAGTCTTGCCCATCCGTGGCATCTGTTGTTTCTGTTATGTTATTTTAACCTTCCTTTAAAGTTTTAAGCGGTTATTTTTATGTTTTTCTTAATTTAACGGGCATTTTGTAATTTCCTAATTTGGCTTAATTTCGTGACACAGCTCCTTTAATGATTGGGCCTCACTACCGAGTGAGCTCAAGAGACTAATGCCAAAAACGATTTTTCATTACAAACTGAAACAGTTTTTATTGAATCATTTTGAACCGTAGTTGGTATTTTTATGTTAGTTTTACACGAATTTTAAACATGAACTGAAAACGTTTTTATAAAACAATTGACCTTAGTTAGTATTTTTAACTTAACCCTAGTTGTAGTATTAGTTGTTAGCCATTCTTTACTTTTATTTTAATGTATTTTTACCTTTATTTAGAGGACCCTCCTGAAAACCACCGTTAGGTGATTGGAGGCCTGCTTGTAAAATATAATTGCCCCTGCAGGGATTTCGCCCAGAAAGCGAAATCCCGAGGAGGCACTCTAGTAATTCGCGCGTATATTAAGGAAAGTACTTGCAGTTGAAATATACAGTCATACAGTCAATATAGAAAAAATCTCGATTTGCTTGAACAGGGGCCGCGAGGAATCGGTAGGTAATGATGACGTTTCTATTGCTTGCGCCCGCAAGTACGAAATGGTTAGGATGACGTAAAGACAGAGAATCCCGAAAGGACCGCTCAGGTAGATTTTGTGACATTTATTGTGCAGTCATACTTCGATATTCTTTTGCGTTACGCAGTGACATTCTGTGGAGCAGTTGTTTTGAAAATTAAAGTTATGGACCAAAAGACACTCGTTAAGCGCAGATGAGGTTAAAAGGTGCGTTTAACTATGTATATATAAACACTTGGAGAGTTTGCCAGACATGAGTTCACAAATCTTTGATTTATATTGGAAACCTTGCCAGACACTCTTTCTCTCTCTTTGACCGGAATATTGCCCCAAACAAGCACGGACGATTACAGAAATTCGCCGACAATCAAATTCTGTGCTAACTTATTCCCTGTTCAAAGATGTCCTTCTGTTATAAAGTTTCAAATAAGACTAGAATGCGCGAGCGTGAATCGACCAAACGTCCTTTTAATTTCTAAGGCTTACTTTTCGGCAAATAAAATGAATTGAATGTAAAAAGTGAAAGAGAAATAGCGAAAAATTAAACTTCCAATTAAATCTTTTCTTATGGTTTAGAATAAACTATTCTCGAAACTGACAATGTTTTGATCAAGGCTGTGTAAATCGAGCTCAAGCTGTGCATGGAACCTTGCGTTTCCTGTATTTATCTCACCTATTGTATGGAATATGTGTGAAAATCTCCATTATGAATCGGTATATTTCACAGCATGTCATAGAGCTACACAACGAGCAAGAATACTATTAACCGAAAATATACAGAACGGGGGCAGCTGTAGTGTCAACTATTAGTAGTTATTGTTAAAGTTAATGGAGAAGAAATATCTACTTACTATAACTTGATCATGTCTGGCATCGACAAAGGGTCCCAGCTGAGAAAAAAAAAAAAACAAACAAAAAATCAATCAAACGAACATTTTAAAAACATTAGCATACAGTGCAGGGTTGTCACTAAGGGCCGGGGGCCGGGGATTTCCCCCGGCTGCTCAGAGCACGGCCCCCGGCTACTTTCGTCATTAAATTAAACCAAATGAGCACACCTTTGAAACACACAGACTATCCATCAGACTAAATGAAAGTTTCATCTGCAGCAGGTTTAAGTAATTTTGAAACACTCGCGTGCAAAAACTAAGAAATGTTGGAAAAAGACATCTGCCTTAGATTTGGTACTAGTACACACGCGCGAAAACTCTCCGTTCGCGAAATGTTAGTAGGGAGTTTTAGCAACGACGACGGCGACGGCAACGAGAACGTCAAAAAAGCAATTGGTTTATTGAGCAAAACAACTAGTTTGCACGCGCATCACCCTTTTGTACATTTCTTTGCCATTACTGCACGACTAAGACGTGAAAATGCCTAGTTTCACGTTATATGGAGGACGTAAACAAGCGAAGACAAACTTGTCTTTCTCTTTCTAAACTTGAGTGCGGTCCCAAAGAAATCAACTCCAGGGAAATTGGCCTACATTAGCTATTTTCAGCGAACTGAAATAAACGAGACAAAGTTGAAAAAAACACCAATTCATTATAAAAGTGACGTTTTCGCTGCCGTCACCTTTGTCGATGCTAAAAGTCCCTAGTTTCAACCGTTGTGTAGGCTTTGTGTTGAACATGTCGAAGAAGTTGCAAAGGAATCTGCACTCTTTGTTCACGATGATAGACCTGAGCAGATCTCTGTTGACATCACAGAAGAAGTTGAGGCTTCATCCCAGCGTTAAATCTCCCTGATGCTGATGTTGATGATAATGAGGATTATGATGAAGGCTTTGAAGATGAACACTATGACTGATTGCTATGTTTAATAAATTGACGTTTAAGTGACCAGGTCTATATTTAGCTTTAGGTATCGAGTATATAAAATAACGCACGGTCAACGGGAAAGGTTCGATCATTGTCCGCAGGTCATGATCACATCCTCTCAGTTCTACTTCCAAGAAGTTATATTTCAAAGGGAAGTTAAGCATTAGCATTACTTTTGCATTCTTCTCCTTGAGTCTCGTTTTGACATCTCAGCGTCGTTTATAAAGTATTAGCCCTGTCTTTTAAACGCTTTTCGGTAGGTCAGTTTCTTCGTATGTTAAGTGATGTGTCGTTCCTAAATTCGAGACCACTAATGTTACCAGTTGTGCAGTTTAGTTTTACCATATTTTATCCCGCGATTTTTCGTACGTTACGCTTGTTTAAGCCTTATCATACGTCTATTTTTCAACAAACCATAGTAACCTTGTGTTTATGATGCTTTTTCGTACATTCATCGTCAGCTTGTCGTCTTTCCGCTTCTCGGTGGGTTAATTCATTTGTAATATTAGTTTTACTTCTGTTTTCTGTAACTTGTTTCGTTCTTACGTATAACTAAATGAGGATTTACCATTGATTTTACAACGCATGTTAATTCATTTGCACCATATAAGAATCGATTGTCCTTTCCACATTTTTAACATTTTGTAAAGTATCGTTGTGATTTTTACTTCACTGGCCAGCATGCGCCTTGTCTGCGTGAAGACTGCGCGGATAACGTGACCGGTGCCTACATATATATTCCCATTTGGTGGCCACTAAAAAAACCTTTACGTAAAGTAAAAACTTATTATTTTAGGCTCTCAGAATGATGTTGTTTTCTTTAATAAAGACGTGATCATCATAAAACCGCTAATGATAGCTGTACTCTTGATGAAAATTGCTTTTTTGGGGCGGTAATGCGTTTTAGGAAACGGTAGAAGTTGCACTTCAAAAACTTCTTGTAGGGGGGGGTCTCCAGGACTGCTTGCGACTTCCCCGGCTACTAACAACAAATACCCGGCAACTTGAAATCTTAGTGACAACCCTGATCATACATTACCAGTTTTCAATAGTACATTTAATGGGTTATCAGAAATCTAGTGTAGAAAGGTCTTAAATGCCCACTGAGACATTTCTTTCATAAACTGAAGAACAAATATTTCAAATCAAATTTCAAAGGGAGGTGTAAATTATAAGCAGAGATCATACCAAAATAAGCAGATCTGGTTTATCATTTTGAACTGTTTTCATGAGGTCTGCAAGTGGTTCATAACAAAGACTGTCTGAAGTTGTAAAAGGTCCAGCAGCTACCATCATTAAGAAAGGTTCTGAAAAGTCAACATACAAATGCTTTAAGAAAAAATAAAAACAAACCAAATGACAAACAAATAAAATCATTTACAATTACAATACAATAACTTTGCATATTCATTTGCTAGACATTTTTTCATGAATGGCTAGCTAGCTTTATACAAAGTTTATTTCGCATAGTAGAGAAACTTGCAGATGCAAGGAAAACGGCAAAGAGCTTTAAAGACTTTGAACCTTCCAAATTTCATGTTGTTGGTAGCATACAAGTTTTATATGTGAAAATAATTTAATTTTAATAATTATTTCACATTAAAAAAACATCACCATTGTAGTGTATTAGGACCCAGATTCCCCTGAATAATGCATGGAATGCCTAACTGTAGTGGTTGATAAGGACCACGAGTCGTGAAGGCAGAATAAAGCTAATCATTCAAGGTTCAATCCATTGCAATCCTTCGTTATTCACCGACTAGATCAGTCACAACATTGGCGACAAGGGTAAAAAAAGACCCCAAGAAGTCAGTGAGATGAAAAGTTTGTGAAAAACATGGACGATAATGAATGAAACCATATTAAAACATTTGACTGTTATGGGGACGAAAAGACGCTTGCTTTGCGATGAAAGCAGTGGTTGACAGCGTTCAAACTATTTGCAGATGGCAAAGGCTTAATTCTAAATGAAGACAACGTGAACAACAGGCAGAGGAGACGTTCACTAATGCTCCATATCGTGGAACCCAATGTTCAAGATATCTTCCTTAACTTCCCGAACATGGGAGATGTGAAGCATTACCAGAGAGCGGTAGATGCACTGCATGAATACTTTGCTCCCAAAGTCGACACTACGTATGCTAGACACAAACAATCCAACAGTTTGCAACCAGACCTAGACGAGCATCAAAATATTGTGACTATGGCAAAGACACAGATAACCACATTTGGGATGAAATCCTCTGGAAGTACACCAGCACGTACATAAAGAGAAAACTCCTGGAAGAACGCTAGGGCCTCACTTTAGCTAGAGTGCTTGAAATAGCCAAGAACTGCAAGAAAGTTGACAAACAGCTTGCGCAATGACCATAGAAGAAAAAGGGGAGATTTCAGTTAGTGTAAACCGCATAGAGAGAACAAGAGTGGCCATGGCAAAAATCAGTCACAAGGTACCAACAACACCAAGCATGAGAAAACTTGTTACCAATGTGGTAGAACCGGACATTTTGGTCGTGATTCCAACTGTCCAGCAAGAGGTCATTTCTGTCATCGATGTGGGCTGGAAGGACATTTTCAAGAGCAGTGCAGGACAAAGCAGAACGGTGAAGCAAGGCAAAAGCAAACAAAAGGCTACAGGAACCCCAAGGGAGGTGCTGCAAATATGGTTGGTTGCTACGATGAAGAAGAGGAACCAGTATATGCATTTGCGCTAGGAGACAGGAATGAGGAGAAAATTGAAGTAACCGTTGGAGGTTTTAAGCTAAACATGATCACAGATTCTGGAGCGAGCACTAACATCATTGACAAGCAAACATGGGAGTGGTTGAAGAAAAACAAAGTGAAGGGTGAATTGGCTCTCACGAGTAGTGCATCTAGACACCACTGGATGTGATGGGAACATTCTTCTGTAAAGTCTCTGCAGGAAGCAACACTGCTAGAGCTAATTTTTGTGTGATCAATGGTGAAGGAGACCCCCTTCTAGGGAAGGATACTGCAACTAGTCTAGGCGTACTGAAGATAGGGATAGGCAGTGCTGCAGTAAGTGCAGACCCAAAGACCATCGGTGGGATCCTGCAACAGAAGTACCCAAATGTTTACAGCGGTGTTGAAAGACCAAGAAGTACAACTCCACATCTACCCCAAAGTGAAGCCAGTAGCAAAGCCGATGTGGAGGACTCTGTTCAGCATGACATCAAAGTTGGAAGAAAAGATTAAAGAACTCATGAACTAGACATTATTGAACCTGCACTAGGGCCCACACCATGGGTGAATCCAGTTGTTGTTGTCCCAAAGACTGGGGGTGACATCCGTCTTTGCATTGACATGCAAATGGCTAATGAGGGAGTACGGAGAAACAGACACCCAACCCCTAATGTTGATGAGATTACTCAGAGCATAAGTGGCAGCAAGGTATTCTCCAAACTTGACCTTAAGTGGGGATACCACCAGCTCAAACTTTCCTCAGAATCCCAAGAGATTACAATGTTTGCTACCCACTGCGCTCTGTTCAGATACAAGAGACTATTGTTTGGTGTTAACTCTGCTTCCGAACAGTATCAGTATGAGATCCAGACAGCACTTGCAGGTATAGAAGAGCAAGAGAACATTTCAGATGACATCATCGTTCATTGTAAACACCAGGAAGAGCACGATTTGCAGTTGGAGAAAGTCATTGTGAGATTAAAGGAACGTGGAGTGTCTATCAATGCAGAAAAGTGCCAGTTTATCATGGATAAACTCACATTCTTTGGCATGGTATTGTCCAGGAATGGAATCAGCTGTACAGGAGAAAAAGTTAAAGCCGTGAAAGAGGCGCGAGAAGCTCGGACGGTATCAGAAACCTGAAGTTTTCTTGGGCTTGTAAACTACTGTGGCCGCTTCATACCTGACCTGGCAATGGTCTCTGAGCCTTTACGTCCCCTGACAAAGTCAGGAACTCCCTTCGTGTTTGGAGGAGAACAGAAGAAGGCCTTTCAGGAACTAAAAGAGCGGTTGGCTCGTGCTGAGACTTTGGGGTACTTCGACAAGGATACCCCAACCCAAGTGATTGCCAATGCCAGCCCAGTTGGACTGGGAGCGGTACTGACCCAAAAGCAGAAGAATGGACCAAGAGTCATCTGCTATGCAAGTCGTAGTCTGACAGACACAGAGAGAAGATATTTGCAGACAGAGAAAGAGGTGCTGGTGCTCATATGGACCTGCGAAACGTTCCATCCCTATGTGTAGGGTGTGCCATTTGATCTCATTACAGATCACAAGCCATTGGAAGTTATTTACAGCCCAAGGTCAAAACCCTGCGCATGCATTGAAAGATGGGTGTTATGAATGCAGCCACACAAATTCAAGGTCAAGTATGAGCCTGGGCCGAGCAACATTGCTGACCCTCTCTCAAGGCTAGTGGGAAATCTCAAAACCAGTAGCAGTCAGTCATGCTGAAGCCAAAGAATATGTCAGATTTGCAGCTATAAATGCGACCCCCTGTGCTATGACTACACAAGAAGTGGAAGAACCCTCAGCAATTGATGAAGAACTCTGTGCAGTCAAGGAATGCTTAAACGGAAAACCGTGGGATCACCTAGCTTACAAGAAATACCTCCCACGTAGTAGTGAACTGTGCAGCATTGGACAGTTGATACTAAGAAGGACAAGAATCGTTATCCCGAAGAAACTCAGACCCAGGGTGTTGTCCCTCGCTCGCGAAGGTCATCTGGACATTGTTGGAACCAAACAGAAGTTGTGCAGTAAAGTGTGGTGGCCCGGGATGGAAAAGGATGCTGAAACACCATGCAAAACCTGCTATGGATGGCAGTTAGTCAGCCGTCCCAGCCCACCAGAACCTATAAGGAGGACAGCATTGCCAACTGGACCATGGAGAGATTTGGCAATTGATCTGCTCGGACCACTCCCTACTGGTGAGTCCATTCTGGTCGTCGTGGACAAGGAATAGACATTTTGAGATCCACAGTTGCCTATAACCTCATCTCGAGTCTAGAAGAGATATTCGCAAGACATGGTCTACCTGAAAGCCTGACATATGACAATGCACCACATTTTGTATCAACAGAATTTACAGGGTACATGGAGCAGCAGGGAATCAGACACCACGGAGTAACCGCAAAATAACCCCAGGCAAATGGAGAAGTTGAGCGCCAAAATAGTTCACTTCTGAAAAGGCTCCAAATCACACACGCTGAAAAGAAGCACGAGGAGCCGCAAGAGGTGATATTTTTGCACGGCATCTGGCGGCACATCAAAGAATTTGGAATTGAAGGGCAAATTCCTAGAATATCTTCGCCAGTTAAGCTAGAGAAAAGGTGTTAAAAAACCTCAGGATCCAAAACAACACGTCAATCAAAATATCACTTGGACCTTTTCGCTAATGAAGAGCTATCACGCGGCTAAGCTTGAATTAGACATATATTGAAATAGGAACTCGTGTCAATAAAGTATCTTAAGTGAGTGGGAATCGCTCCCGGTTAAAAAACTGGTTCACAGGGATATGCATCTCTTCTAGTTAAGAGAAGGGAATCAGAACTGCTTTTCTTCGGGCTAACTACAAAACTTCAGCTTATTTCACTCCTTGACATTGTCAAAGCGCATTTTGTAAAGATAACTTTTTCCGCTTTATCAGCTTTTTTTATATTCTATTCCATTAATGTTTAACCTCCATCAAAAAGCCCAATAATATAAATGCTGTTGTTAAAAAAAGCGTTTTACCTGTTTTCGTGAATTCGCTACCCAAAGATCACTCTGCTCAAAGGACAGGGCAAAATTTCCAGGAGAGCGGCATTAATTTTTTTTCCCACGAGGTTACAAAGAGAAAATGCAATGATTATTATTAATGTAACCATCAGGTATACTCTACCCACGAGGTCACGGACAGCAAATGCAGTGATTATTTTTAATGTAACCATCAGGTATGTTCTACCCACGAGGTTACAAAGAGAAAATTTAATGATTATTATTAACGTAACCTTCAGGTATGTTCTACCCACGAGGTTACAGAGAGCAAATGCAGTGATTATTATTAAATGTAACCGTCAGGTATATTCTACCCACGAGGTTACAAAGGGAAATGCAATGATTATTATTAACGTAACCTTCAGGTATGTTCTACCCACGAGGTTAGAGAGCAAATGCAGTGATTATTATTAAATGTAACCGTCAGGTATATTCTACCCACGAGGTTACAAAGAGAAAATGCAATGATTATTATTAACGTAACCTTCAGTTATGTTCTACCCACGAGGTTACACTAAGCAAATGCAGTGATTATTATTAAATGTAACCGTCAGGTATATTCTACCCACGAGGTTACGGAGAGCAAATGCAGTGATATTATTAATGTAACCATCGGGTATGTTCTACCCACGAGGTTACAAAGAGAAAGTGCAATGATTATTATTAACGTAACCTTCAGGTATGTTATACCCACGAGGTTACAGAGAGCAAAAGCAGTGATTATTACTTTAAATGTAACCATCAGGTATGTTCTACCCACGAGGTTACAAAGAGAAAATGCAATGATTATCATTAACGTAACCTTCAGGTATGTTCTACCCACGAGGTTACAGAGAGCAAATGCAGTGATTATTATTAATGTAACCATCAGGTATGTTCTACCCACGAGGTTACAGAGACCATGCAAATGCAGTAACAATTATTAGATTTTAGTGCAACTATCAGGTTGAGTTCCTCCACTAAAAGCGTTTTTTGCTAGGGTTAAACAAGTTTGGCTTTCATGAGTTTCAAGGTGCAAGAAATTATCAGTATAATTATAGCACACAAACATTGTCATCTAAGTTTTCGCACGTAGCCGGAATAAGCGAAGAAATGAAGCATATATAACGAAAAATCGTCCTCAGATGATCTCATATTAAGTAAATGATACTAAACGTTGCGAAAGAAATTATTGTTTGTATCCGTGCTATCCATCGTAAAAGCGAGGGGTCATCGCATGACATCCGGTATATTAAACGGAGGTAATACTCACGGGTTTCACGAGTTGTATGCACTATTTTTCGCCGACAAACAAATTTAAACTTCGATTCTTACCTTACAGTAGTCCGTTCTTTTACCTTGCATTCGACAACAAATCTGTTAAAGGCGAACAAAGCGATTCCGGCACTCTTCTTTATGATGAGTAGCAAGCCACAGGAACTGAAGCCGCTTGACTGAAGTAAAATCCACCGATATGCGCGGCATTCTCACTACAAATATAAACAAACGTCGCGGAGAAAAAAAAGACGAGGAGGAAAAATGCCAGATCTTCGCCTCGGCAATGTATTCCAGCTACCATGCCGGCGTATCTCGAGAAGGTGGACTCGACGTGGGACAAACCTTGTGATCTTTTTTTAGAAGCCATTTGCGCGCAAACTAATTTATTCTGGCGCGAAATGAAGAATATGTATACTGAAATCTAATCCACAACAAGAAGATTTTCGCACTGTAGCGCGACATATAAAATGCCTATTTTTACAAGTACGCGGAGAAAGTGGTCCACTAGTTTAACTTTTTTAAGATGAATTTACTCCACAAAAGCAAAATGAAATGTTTTATCTCTATGTTGTTTACGTGCCTGATTAGAAGGCAGAAGTAAATTCATCATACAGACCCCATCAAAATGAAAGTACACGAATGAAACGGAATAAGTCTGGGGCAGTTTAGTTTCTACTCAGCAGCTTCTTTGCTTTTATAACAAAAGTTTAATGTTGCAGTCTGTTTTAAACGTTGGCATATCAACACGCACAGTCACTGAATGAAAACAACAGTCACGATCACGTTCTTCGAAACCGACCAGACGCGCGCGACCTACCACTGTTATGGTAAGCAATTATCCTGATGGTGTTAATGTTCCCGTGACTGTCTTCGCACTGAAGGTGTAAATGGTAAACACAACGGTCGCTTTGATCATCAGAAAGACCTGTCAACTTTGATGATTTAACTGATTAAATTACGGGACAGAAATTTTACTGCTTGCGGCTCCTCGTGCTGGAAGGAAGAGCTGAATGTTTATCTTGCAGCGCAAAGAAGCCTACCTCACTCAACAACAGTACTGATGCAAGCCCTGCTGAGATGCTCTTCGGACTGAAAATACGCACCAAACTTCCTGAGCTGAGCGATGTACATGTCGAACAAGAAGTGCGCGATAGGGACAATGAACAGAAGGGTAAGAGCAAAGCGTACGCTGTCATGCAGAGAAATTCGAGGTACTTCCTGGAGACCAAGTACTAGTGCAACAAGAGAGGAAAAACAAGCTCACAACCCGTTTTGAACCAAGTCCGTACGCTGTGGGAAACAAGCATAGGAACAGCTTGATCGTACAATCTCCAAGAGGAGCCCAAAACTCATGCAAAGCATCTCACGTAAAGAAACTGCTAGAGAATGGTGATACACATGATACACCAAGTATACCGGAAGTGGTGATGACTGGAGAGCCCCACAAGCAGGATAAACCGACCCCGCAGCACAGTGTGGTGATATCAGAATCAAATCTTGTTGAGCCTGAAGTTCCACTTAGGAGGTCCCAGAGACACAGAGTGGCACCAAGCTATCTCAAAGACTATTGTAGTTAAACTCTAGAGACACTGAAATCTCAGAGACATTGTTGATAGTCCACGTTTATGTCTACTGGACCATATATTATTTCGTTTGTACTTCTGCTAAATGTTACTGTTTTCTATCTAAATGGGGAGGGATGTAGTGTATTAGGACCCAGATTCCCCCTCATTAATGCATGGAATGCCTGACTGTAGTGGTTAAGGATCGTTATTTGCCAACTAGATTGGTCACAACAACCATTACACGCGTTTAGCATCAAACATACATATAGACTGTTCTAGGACAAACTACAGAAAGTTTTGTTTAAAAGTCAGGTGCCCAACTTTGCAATGATTTGCCAAAAGATCATAAGAAAAAAAATCACGTACAGTTGTACTGCTCCCACAAAGCATGTGTCAGCATCCCTTATGAGTGTGCAAATAGTCATGGGACCTTCAAATTTTCTGTTAACGCATTTCAATAGGTACTATTCCAAATGCAAGAAACTGCTTTTGTTCAAACCAAGCATAGTAGTGGTTTCTACTTTTTGTTAAGGAAATTTATAAATTTTTACTATCAATTACAGTATTGTACAAAAAAACATTGATACTGTTAAAGTTAAAGAAGAAGTGACACTTTGTGCAATGAAACGTGACTTGTTCATCTTTACATGCAAATAGATCGATAAATTGCTACTTGATAGGAACCGAAAATATGATTCCTTTTGAGCAGGCAAGCGTGCAAAAATGGACGACACTGAAAGAAAGAGAAAGAGCAGAAAGAGATTTTGATGAAACTAAACACACCACACCAAGGAATAGAGAGAACTAAGCTAACAACTAAAACCTCAGTCTAGTGGAGAGGCTTGTACAAGGACATAGACGAAGCCACAAAAACATGCAATACTTGTGAGGAGCTCCAGCATAGCCAACAAAAGGAACCTCTGATCGACACAAAGGTACCCCCCAGGGCATGGCGCACCATTGGCTCTGATCTCTTTGCTCTTGATGGCTCCAAATATCTCGTAGTTGCTGATTGTTACTCCTTTGTCAGGAATATACTGAGTGGGCAAAGCAAGAGCAGCACAGTAGTCAAAATAATTAGGCAGCTTTTCAGCGAGCAATGCATCCTGAGGTAGTAAGAACTGACAATGGACCGCATTTCAAAAGCCAAGCCTTTCAAGAGTTTGCTCGGGACTTCAGTTTTAAGCACATTACAAGCTCCCCCCTCTACTCTCATAGCAATGGGTTTATCCAAAGCCAAGGCAACTCAGTGAAGTCACCCCTCCTGAAGTCGAAAATGACCAAATCAGACCCTGACATGTCGCTTCTTTGTCTCAGGGCTACCCCTGTTGACCACAAACTCCCCTCACCTGCTGAGTTGCTATTGGGGTACTCAATCCACGACAACCTCTTAAGGAAGATTTCAAGGGACTCATCAAGTGAAGAAGTTATCTCCAGGCTGATCGAAAGACAGCAACTGCAGAAACACTACTATGATCGACCGGCAAAGCCACTCCCAGAACTTGCCCCAGGGCAAAGGATCACCATTCAAGATCCACCATTGCTGAAATGGAAATCGGCTGAGGTAAAGGAAAGACTAGTTGGAACTCCCCGCTCATGTGCTGTAACGACTGCAACTGGCAGAGAGCTAAGGCGCAACAGAGCCCATATACGAGACGCACATCAGGAAAACAGAGCAGTAGAACCTGATTGGAAAGAGCAGTCATCATCCAAAGATTCCTCTAAATCCTCTGAGGAATGAAACCATCACATTGCCAGACACCTACACAACTCGCAGTGGCAGACTGATTAAACCCCCCGGAGAGACTGGATCAGTAGGAACTGAGTTAAACCAAGCTGTGATTCTTAGGAACACTTTGAAACGGTCATAATAGTCTTGTTGTGTTTAGGTATTGTAAGAGGAAAAAACTGACATTGACTTAGATCATGTACCTTGAAGACACTGAATTAGGTTAATGCACATCTAGACTATCATCCAGTTTGTCAAGCCTATAGGAAAGGAGGGATGTAATGATTCTATAGTAGTTTTGGCCACGATGCTTTGCGAAGCTAATGTTACTTTTTCCATTCAGCCATGTAAGTCCATTTCCATTCGCTTGTAAGTTGTTCGGAGGTGATGAGTCTTCGCTCTATTAAATGTCAAGATTCCAACTTCCTTGTGATAGTTTATTTGACTGGAATCACAACAGAAACGTGTAACGTCTTCAATATCGACAAAACTAGAACAATGCCATACCACCCATAGTTAGGCGTATGAACCATACAATACAAGACATGCTGGCAAAATACATCTCGGAGCACCAGTGTGACTGGGATGATCACCTGCCCATGGTTATGATGCGTACTGGTCCAGTGTTCATTTTTCTACCCAATACACACTGCATTACCTTTTGATTGAACACGAGGTACGATTACCCTTAGATGTTATGTATGGTCGTAAGCCTCATCAGTTGTAAGCAGCACTTGAGTACTTGAGGAACCTTAGATCCACCCTGGAAGAAGCCTAAGAGAAAGCTAGAGAACACATTAAGACTGCCCAAAGAAGACAGAAAGACTACTATGATTGTCCCGTTGCTGGAGACGACATAAAGGTTGGAGATCTTGTGTACCTTCATGTTCCTGTAATCAAGTCTGGACAGACAAAGAGGTTTTATTCCCCATGATGGCATGGTCCATATGTGGTAGTAAAGAAATCAGTCATGTAACCTATCGGATAGAAGAAGTAGACAATCAAAGAAAATGGCGAGTAGTGCATTTCAATTGACTAAAGCGGTGTGGCGAGCCACAACCCGATAGACCAGCAACCTAATCAGCCTAATGGCCAGCCTTCCAGTTCACCACTGCAGAGACGTCATGTTCCCCCTCACTATGTTCTGGATGAGACTGATCTCATGTATGCAGAAGAGACCGCAGCTGACAGGAACAAGACTTAAGCAACAGCTGAGGAAGGGGATCCCACAGAGGCAGAGGTGCCAGCTCCAGAACCAGTAACTGAAATAGTACCTCCTCGGGTCCTACACAGACCGAGAAAGAGAAGTTCATGCTCCTGCTTGGTTGAGAGACTTTGTTTCTTAATTTTTGAATGAACTTTCATTAATTTTCTTGATTTAGCTGCAATCAGAGTAAATATTTGTTATAGCACTTGTACACCCAGTGATTTCAATTTTGCTTTAAATCCAGAAGTTTGCCTTTTGTTGCATGGAATGTGGACATTTCCCCTTTTCTAAGGGGGGGACAGTGTAGTAAAGGTAAAGAAAACGTGACACTTTGTGTAATGAAACATGACTTGTTAATTTTTAGTGAACAAATAGATCAATTCAACACTTGCTTGTTAGGAACTGGAAAAATGATCCCTATTGTGTAGGAAAGAGTGCAAAAATGTTTATCACATAAACCAAAGAGTTATAAGTGTTTTCTAATCAGAAAAGTGTAAAAGCTAGACCCTTTTCACTAGTAGGATTTTTGTGTAGGATGAGATGACTATTCAAACAGCCGCTCAGGATTTATGAAAGTAATTTAGGTGTAACAACAAAAGTTTTCAATCAAATAAGGGTGTTTACTAGAAAGAGAACCACATGCATTCCCTTCCATATTTACCCACGTGTGATTTAGTTACCAACATGTATAAAAGCACCTTGATTTAGCAATAAACAATGAATGCAATCAGCACTTGAGTGTGTGCAAGTCTCTCGGTGTGTTGATAGCCTGAAACTGGCCAGGTCTAGAGATAATCAAGCAGTTGACACTGTTGGCCACAAAATCAACTCATGTTTGCAACAATACCAGTGATTTAAAAACTGGCAAAAGAAGACTTCCTTGGTGGTGATTCTAATAGTATTATTATTAAAAATAGATAATTTACAGTTAAATGTTGTTGTACTTATAAATTAATTCTCATTTACTGAAATAATGCAACCTTTTTTTAAAATCCTACACAACCCAAGTTTTACAGAGCCAACACTACCTGAAGTTTTTTCCTCAAACTTGGAATCACCAGCATCAACCAAGGAGCAAAAAGGAAGCTGAATTCCCTGAGAAAAGGAAAGGTATCATTACATGGCAGCTGCAACACTAATATGCAAAAATAACAACAAAAAGAATAAAAATGTCTTAAAGGATTTGTAGAGTGCATGGTAGCGTGTTTCAGGTATATTTCTAATACTGGGGATGGAAAAAAAAACAGAGAAGGAAAAAACAGAGAGGGAAGGCCAAAAGTGCACCTTTGGTAATTTTTTTTACATTTTGTACCACATTCTGATGTACCCTATGACTGGCTAAATTTAACACTTTTGACAAAACATGAACATCCATAAACTTGACTGGAAATGTGATGTGACAGCAATAAGATCATACATTAGTTTTTCTTGTACAAATGCTGAAGTGATTCACAACAACTAATATCCTGGATGGTATATGTGGGATATTATTTGCAAACATAAATAAATTGTTTTGAGGCAGAATCTTGTCAACAGAAAATAAGCCTTTGCAATCTTACCAGTTGTTGGCTTTCAAACAAGCTCCCGCTTACAGTTCTGTCCAGGAACAAAAAATATATACGTATCCTGGAAAGAGCAAACTGTCAACCACTGCATGGTTAATTGACAACTTCTCAAGACCAGAAAAAGAGACAAAAAGCCAAAACCTATGGTAGGATTACAAGTTGACAAAATGAGCAGAATGAGCCTTTTAATAACAAATCTCACAGGCATTCCCTTCTCTTTCCCTCTCTTCTGTCTTTTTTCCCTCCAATCTCCATTTCAAACCATTTTCCACTATCTGAACTGTTGGAACAGGCTATTAGTACATAATTATCTACCGTCATCCACTTACTGTGCAAATTTTCTTGACCACTAGTTTTTGACCAGTGCTGTTAAGCCCTTCAACAGCAACAACCTAAAATAGAGATTGTTAACAGAGTATTGATTGGGTGATGTTTTTAAAATAATGAGAACTCAGGAAATGGTTAAAATGGCTTGTCAATTGAGGTCCATTTAAACACGAGATAATCTGCTTTTTACCTGGCCAGGAAAGAGTGCAAATTGTCGAATTTCAGAAAGATCTAACTTGACCCTAACACCTGATGATAGGTCTTGTGAACCTTCCAACAACACTGACTGTGCATTCAATTTTCCATTAGAATCACAGCAAATCCGGCCAATGACTGACACTTCTTCCTTTATGGCAAATAATAGAAATGTAGAAAGGATGATCAAACATAATAACTGACAAACAATCTTCAACATTATGTTTGAATTAATGAAACCTTTGAAAACCTCAGCATTCAGTGAAGCACGTGAAATATTGGTAACTTATTATCTAGGCTTTTATTCTAACCTGAGAGGGCACACATAAGCTTGAAAACTCCTCAACTCCTAAGCTTTCATGCAGTTTTTCTGCCATATCATCAATGAGGTCACTTAGCACTACAAAATAGTAGAATTGAAAGAGTGTTGAGTTTTTTCAAAGAAAAATGAGTCAGGAATAATAGTCAAAAGGTTCAAGACGAATTTATTATTGAGACCTTTTTAAATGGCTGCCTTGTTGGCTCAATTGTATAAACCCTGGTCCACGAATAGGAGACTACAAGTTCAAATAATGGCTGTACAATAATCACTGGGTCTTTAAATAACTGAGGATAAAGTGCTGCCTTTGTTTGCAAATGGTTAACTATTCTTACCAGTATTCCCAATAAGGAAGATAATTCACCACCGTTGCTCACACAAAAATTCTGTGGCACATTTTGAGAATTTATACACTATTTATAAAGGGAAGGGGAACGTAGTCCCCAATGTGGAGGTTAATCTCAAATTTATTTTTAAACTAGTAATAATCAAAGGTTACCGAGTGCGGTTTGCTCTAATGCTGAGCTCTGCATAGGTTTTACATGACAGATGGTCAAAACATGCATGATCAGATTATGACGAGTAGAAGGTCAAAACGAGCTTGATTAAATTGCGTTCTTTGCATTCCACTCATTTTTCGTGGAAGTCCAAACAAATGCTGGCTACGTACATGTGACCCATGTATAATAACAACCTGGAGATCAGGATTGTGGGCTCCTTTTGTCGCCCACAATTAGGGGGCGTTCAAAACTTATGACTTCATTAAAATGTGTACTGCAAGACAAGCAGTCTGGCAAAAGTCCCCTTACCAGTGGAAAAGCCCTAAGGAGAGTGCATATATTTATGATATATTTACAAAGATGCATGAAATGCCAAAATTAATAAAACTGGCATTAATATTCCTCACTTTGAAAATCACAAATGGGTGGTTCCAGAAAATATCCATAGTTACCCCATGGAAGGTCATTAACTCTTTTCTTACAAAGTCTAGCTACGAACTCTAGAGTCTGGTGACTTCATGCCATTTTCATCACAAGTAACTGAAGAATTACCTAATTCTCACCTAATTTCGTAAAAAATCATGAGCCATACTTTGTGAACTTCAGGGAAAGATAGAATTGGAGTCTATTTAATTTTGCAATTTTTCTATTATAAAATTATGTAAAAGTAACTCTGACCTCAGAACAGTAACAATAGAACTAATAATTTTATTGTAAACAATAGTAAACAAAGACAATATTATAACAAACAAAACAAGCTTAACATTACAAAGCATAGGGTTTTCAACAGTCTAAATAGGTACTTGCAAATAGATACATAGTAAATATTTACACTCCGATAAACTTCGTTCTTATAATGTTCTGTCAGACATGATATGAAGGTCCTTATTCAGTCTATATTTTTTGTTCAGCAATGCTTTATTGTTGATAATAAGCTGTGTAGCTCACACACATGTAATCTGTATTACACAGATCACATAAATTAACAGCACACTGCTGATCTTATGAAAGGCAGCTTCATTATTTTCACTTGATGATCTTGCTCTAATTTTTGGCCTCACTGCAATGTACAGCCGTTAATAGTTTGGCTGAGGTTGCACATTTGCCCCTAATATGAAAGATTTTTGACAAGATGCTGTACACATTGGCTGTTAGAGGCCCTTCAGGGATGCTCACATAACTGGCAATTTCAACAAGTTTAGAGTTAAGAAAATTCATGTTCCAGATTTGAGTCAAATTATGGATAAAATAAGGAGCATTTACACCCTTGACAATGTTAGGGCATTAAAGAGAAAGTAATGAAAAAATTGTTATTAATAATAATACATTAATAAGCAGTGATATTAGAACTCACCAGCAGCCTTGTCGGTCTGTTTTTGGAACATATATTTGTAAACATTAAGCAAAGCTGTTTTTTGGTCAGGATGCTGTACTGACAGGTAAGGTACGGGGACATGCTGGTGAATAATTTGCTTTAAATCAGTACCAGTCTGATTGAAGGAAGATACAACTTCTCCTGAGTTGGTACGAGACCCATACTTCACAGATGGAGTAGCACTGCAATAACAAAAAAAACAATGACACATTTCATGTTTGCAGGGCTGTTACTAAGGGCTGGAGGCCAGGCACTTCCTCCAGCTACCATGAGCATGACCCCTAGCTACTTCACAAGAAAAAAAAAGGAAATAGATTTAACAGAGGTTCAAAGCTAATTTCTACAAGCTTAAAACAGGGTTTGTACTCTTTAGATCTCTTCAAATTCTATGACTTTTTCGATGACCTAAGGTTCAGAAGTCATTTTTTAAAATTTTCAACTCTTTCCCTGTTTTAAAGTATTTTTGTTACTTAACTCAGTTCAAAATACAGTTTTCTGATTTGCAATTCCCTTTAATTGTCCGACAATCCTACCTGTGGTCAGATAAGATATCCTGACACATACACTACCATTAGACTATCATTTTTAGCCTGTAGGTTTGTATTGTGCTAGAGGACAGTCATTATTACAAGTTAATGTAATAATGTACTCAGTAACCTTTCCAGTTAATTGTCTCCCTAACAAAGTAACCAGTGGTCAGACATTCAACCTTTTCTGCCTGTGCTACTTATCAACTGTTCACCTTGTAACCAAGCGACAGTTAAACCTGAAATTCATCCGATTGCTTCGAGTTGTTTTCTCCTCTCAACAATGTCTGAATCGACCGGCCGTTAATGCCGTCCAGTGACGTCACTCACTACCCGAAAACCGGGTAGTGATTTTGATTGGTTGATTGTCTAAACATTCGCATAATTATGTATAATTATGAAAAATTTTAGCGGGATTGTCGCTTGATATTCAGCGGATCGCATCCCTGGCATTCTTTCGTTTAGTTCAAACATCTCGATAAGCTTAATCTTTATCTTAAACCGTGAAATTGCCCTTGTCTTCGAAACTGAAATGCTAAATTGAAGTGCGAATGAAGAATCATTGCGGAGAGTCGGTAGGTTTTTCATTTAGAGCCGCTTTGTGGTTTCGACGGTCGGTGATTTTGTTTACGCGAAGTTTTCTGAGATCAATGTTATAATTCGACCTTCTTGCTATTTTTACCGTCACGTGTAATGATTCTGTTAGCTTTTCTTTCTTGTCTCCTTGTTTTTTTTTTCTTCGTTAAGGACCAAATAGCTTCATTTCAATTAAAGCAAATCATTGTGTTTTTGAACTAAGTGTTCCGTGTGTGTGTTTATTTCATTGCGTGATTGCGACCGAGTTTGATTATTATAGAATTTAGTACCACGGGTTAGAGTTGTACTGCATGCAGTTGATAGTTTGAACGTTAAACATGAATTACTATCGAAAAAAATAAAGCAGTTCTGTATCATGCAGACATTTCCAAATGATATTTGCCGGTTTGCCACGCGAAAATCGTGTTTTACTTTTTGCATGAATTAAAACAAAGGTCGAAGAGTAGTGACGTCACTGGACGGCATTAACGGCCGGTCGATTCAGACGTTACTGAGGGAGTAATAACGACTCGAAGTAATCGGATGAAATTCAGGCTAAGCGACAGTGAACCTGAATATGTCAGTCAACATGTTATAAGTCGTCATGAGCTGTAGTAAACAAGATCAGGGCAACATACCTAGCAGGAGAAAAGCTAGCTGGAGAAAATGCAGATTGACCAGGACTTCTTGTGACAGATGTATGTCTTTTATTAATGGCTGTTTCTGGAGTTGTATGTGGCCTTTTAATAGAACCCTTTGAGGAAGACAATAATTATTATTACCACCTTTGTATATCACATGTCAGCATTGTTTAAACAGATTGCCTGACCATGCCAGCAGTTACCATTTCTGAATCGCTTGATGAGCATTTAATGAGTTCATGGATTTTGATGGCAAAATAGCAACTAAATTTGCCTGTAGGATGGAGTTTTATAAAAAGTTTTACACGAGCAAGTTACTGTTCATCAGAAATTTTAAGAATAACTCATGATCATGCCTACATCTCTTAACCATAAGTCCCTACTGTTATTTTATTGATATAGAATTAATATCATGGCCAATTTTATGATGATGATGATGATTAATAGCAGAGCTCCATGTGTGGAAGCGTATAGCCCCATACCTAAGAAAATGTGGTAATTTACTCATAAGAGAAATTTTGAAATAACTCAATCAACAGGTATGGCAACCCAAATGCAACTCGAGGTTATTTTGGCCAGAAATCGCATAGCCACCCGTGTCTTGTGAAGCAGAGACAACTTAAGAGTTAATAAAGACGAAAACAGAAAGCAGAAGTTGTTTCTGTATCCGTGTTGTCTACAGTATTCAGCTTAGATTAATTGTCATGTCCACAAATTTGGAATATAGAGAAAGAGAAAGACAGAGAAAAAGAGAAAGTAGGTGACAGGCCAGTGAAGCTTGACGAGGAAAAGAGCAAGAGATAAAAAACAAAGGAGACATTTTTTGTTGGAAGAACCACATCAGAGGAAATTTTGTAGCAGCAGTGAGAAAATGAGAAATGCTAGCGACCACCACAGTGAAAATGAGGGTAGTGAAATAAAAATGTGAACTAGAACATGTACGACATTTCCTCCATAAAACGTGTAACTACAGGAAATTTCTGGAAGTTTCACGTTGTAGTCATGCAAACAAAGGCAGACAAATGTATGAAAAAATTAAGTGTGCTGCACGTGCAAAGTTGCAATGGGCCAGTTATTTAAATGGAGTTTAGCCAGTGTTTAACAAAACCGCATTCTAAAGTCATTTTCAGTTTACCTAACATTTTCATGAAAGCATATGGCTTAGACTAGAAAAGCATTTGTTTTCTTAAAATAACTTACTAAGGAAGAGATCTGGAGGTTTAAAGATTGCCGAAACCGCGGGTTAAGTTAGACTTTGTTTAAACAACCGACCATATTTGTATCGTGGGAAGAACTATTGAGGTTCATATTGTACCAGTGGATATATATTTAGATTCTTATTTACAGACATTTCCTACTGGCTTCCTTGATCTTTAGAATAAAGCTAACTTATTTCCTCTTTGTTCAACTTTCAAGGCTGCTGCTTAACAGGCACCTGGCCGCCAGAGGCTCTCATGATTTGCTCAGGGTGACTAAAATTTTAAACAAGGAGCCCGCACAGGAGCCTAAACCTTATTATTCTTATGGCAATAGCCTCTATGCCTACTTCCAATGCACAAACGACAGAAATCCCTGGTCATTTTGTGCTTCTGAAATGAAAACATAAAATGAGTGTTTGTTGACCACAGGCAAAAAATTTCCGATGATAAAAGTAAACAAACAAGCACTTTTCTGGAAATTCTAAACTCAAACGAATTGAGTTTTTGAGCATCTGCTTACTTATTTAAGTTCATCAATCAATGGGGTCCTAGAAATGTGGCTCGGGCTCTTAAGTTTTTATTTTACACAGTAGGAGCCCAAAGGGCTCCCAAAAAACTGTCTTAGGCAGCAGCCTTGAATCTACTTTATTATCTCACATTCATAGAATGTAATCATAGTAAAAAAAAACTCAAGACATACCTTGTTGCCAGGAGTTTGGTAACATTCAATCAAATCTTCATATTCTTCGTTTATACTACATGATGAGTCAGTCAAGGGTAACTAAAATCTTTACACTTTTTACTTCTAGTGTCAGGATTGAACTTTAAAATCTGTGTATGAATATAAGAAGTCTAATTTCAAGCATTTATCTGACTTTCTTCTTTTCTTGTGTCTTGTATGGGGTGTCCACAAATGACAGTTGACACCCCAGTTTGTCATTCAAGGCCTCCATCAAGTGGCAGTCAAGAGTGGGCTGTGTATCAACTATCAGTCAACAGTTGGTGCATGTTTGGTCATTACTTTGCCAAAAGATTATCAGCAATATCACTGACACTTGCTCAATATTGGATCTTTGCCATACAACGACATAGTGGTCAACCCCTTTGTTCATATATTATGGTCCTGAAAATGTTGGTCAAGTGGTGACCAATTATTAAGTGTCCATTGAGTATCTGCTGTGTATTTAACAATAATATTCCTCGCGCCCAAATGGGCTTGCTTATGAGTCAATAACTCATGAGGCCAAAGGCCGAATGGGCTATTAACTCAGAGTCCATGAGAGCAAGAGAAATAATTGTTTTAGTAAAATCCAACTAGTTGGTAAAGAATATTGAGGCAAAACAACTTTAGCTAGCAAAACGCGATTCAGCCGCCACTATTTTGGTTTTCAAAGCCGGCACTTTTCGCTACTAGTGGGCTATAACATATGGCCTAGTAGTGGCTCAATCAACCAGAACACAGCAAATAATTGATAACAGACCACTAGTTGGATTGTAGTAATAACTGATATGCGGCAAACAGTTGGCTGCTACAAGACAACTGGCTGATGGTCAATGTTAGATTCTCACTTCACTGACAGATCACTGACATGTCATGGACACTCAGCTGCTACTTTCCCAACATCTAACCAATACATATCAACTAACAGTTGACTGAGGTGTCAACTGCTTTGTTAGTGTATCAACTAATACAATGTATGTGTATTGAGCAACATGTCCTTCCTATGTTCTCTAACTACAGTAAAACTCCATGACTAAAAACTTCGATTTTAAGAACCTGTTTGGCTAAAATTTGCCATTTAAGCCCCCTCTATATAAGACCCTTTTTAGCCTTTAATTTGAAACAGGTTCTTATTTTCTAAAATTATGAAAAATTCTGTACAATTGGGCAAGTAAGATAAGTCAACATTCAGGGAGACAAAGTTGCCTTATCACTCCAACTGCAATGTAAATGCCAATGTTTAAATCAGATAGAATTGTTATAGATGTACAATAACAAGTTAAATACAGTTTTTCATTCTATGGAAAGTTTTACTTAGCTTCTAATTTGGTATCCAGATTTTATATGACGGATAAGCTTAGCTATATTGTATTTATTCCCCTCAGAAAATGAGAACCTATAAGAACCAAATGAGCCTTGTGTGACCAAGAAAGGTGAGTAGGGGAGGTAGCGAATGGTGAAACAAAGAGAGCTAAAACACATAAAAGCAATCAAAAATTTAATGCCCAATTAATGAACAAGAAATACAATAAAAACACAAGGAAAAAGGACAGTAAAAAAGGAAAAGAAAACGGCAATAGCACTAAAAGGAAACAATGACGCTAAAAATTACTAACACTGCTTAACAATACAACTAGGAGAATAAAACTATACTATAACGCAAAAAGTAAACAATCCTGCTAAGAACCATGCTGGGTCAGGAAAGAAGAACACGCGTCACAAATAGCACGTGACTCATGTTAAGAGTCATGACAACAAACAAGAGACGAAACATATAACAAAAGCAAAACAAGAAAAACTGAAAGGTTGTGATCTATGATCTCGCACGAAAATGTGGCAAAACAAAGCAGAATACTAAGCTAAAGGAATAACAATAGCTAAGAAGAGGGAGTGCCCACTCCAACAATGACAAAACATCAAAACTAGGACACAATGAAATCTACAACAGGAAAGTAATATTACAGTTGCTGGATGTTTTGTGAACACAATGGCATTGAAGGGAAACAAAGGAACATCCTACAAAAACAAAAAAAAGGAAAAGATTTACCCACTCCAACGAGGGGAGAACTCTAAAAAGCGGTGTGAACTTGACTAGTGTTCAACATGTCTACTGGGACTGTACTAATGTGTAGAAACGCTGTGTGCAGGTGTTTATATATCGTGCTGAACACAACAAAAAACAAAAAGTTTCCTGAAACAAGCGGTTTGCATCCTGTTATTAGCAATACAACTGGACAACTATAGCTGGGTAAGCCACAAAATAGTGAAACCTTCCTGTTGGCAATATGCCTGTTTGTAAAACACTATTATGACTTTACCGCAGAATACATATATATATGGATAAACAGGATCGCAAAAATAAAACTAAATAGAAAATGCTTTGTGAGCTAATTATCAAGCTCGGTTTCATTGTGCTAAACTAGTGCTAACTAACATTTATGTAAGAACCTGTTTAGGCTATAATGGAAAAATCCAGGTTCTTAGTCGTGGAGTTTTACTGTATTTCAGTCAGTTCAAAACTTCATTTCTTGCTCAGCTATACATGTGATATCAGTAATGTCCTATTGGACAAAAGAGATAAGGTTCTGCACAAGCAGTTTAAGGTCATTCCTGTCATTTACCCTGCACATTTACTGTTAAGACCAGTTAGATGAAGTTTTTTTTTCCAAGCTGAGAATTGCTCACTTGATACATGTAAAAATGTCAACAACTAAAGCTAACATCTACTTTCCATGAAGCATTGTTCCTTACAACTCACATGTCTGTCACATGTTAAACTTTTACCACTATTAACACCCTGTCCTTACTGTACATTTTATTTATTATTTTGTCTGCAAAAAGTCTTTAAAACTTCGAAAACAGTCCATTCTGTGACCTCTGCGGCTACTGCCGTCATCATGGAAAAATGATGCCTAGTAGAGTTGTGCTGTGCAAAACATTTATACAGATTTCTTTACAAACAGAGATATGCTGCAAAATGAAGTAGATCATAAAAAAGGATACAATTCATCAATGTTGGTTTTATCAAACATTGAATACTTGGTGTCTTCATGACTGATGTTTAACTGCTTTTGACGTTTCCGGTCTTTGGAGAGACACTGCAACAAGTAAACAACAAAAGCTGACAATAAGTTCAAAACTTCCCTGTGGTCAGCTCAAATAAAGTTCACAAATAACAAGTTGAGTTGAACTTGGGCTATAAAAGTGAATAAATAAATTATTAAATATTATTATTATTATTAAAACCAACAAATTCTTTTAATTAAAACAATTGACTTACAGATGCACTTCAACTTGCTGGTAATTGGTGTTAGGCACAAGAGCCCCATTTGAGGCCCATTGGTAGAGTGAGCACAGAGATGTTCATCTTTTTAAAGTTGAACGTTTCTCGTTTCTACACCAGTCACCGAGTATATCCTGTATAATATATATCTGACACGTAACCTAATTTTTTATCCATCTCTGACTAAAAAGTAACACGTTAGCACTAACCTTTCGCTGAAATTCCCCCAGAGTTGTCAGTGTTGGCTCTTGAATTATACGATTTTCAGATGTCAGATGAGCGATCCATTCTTCAACCAGTTCAGATGCACTTAGACGGCGGCAAATGCAGATTTCTTTCACTAAACGTACACAAACCAACCAGTGAATAACTTAGTGGATTTAAACTCAGAAAAACGACCTAATTATCTCTTCCGACTAGAAATCATCAGAGATTAAGAGATTGGACCCGAGATGTACATGCACAAGCGGTCTTCCTGAAGTCAACGAAAATTTTGCGTACATAGCGATTCTGTTTGCAGGGGACCAAGAGGACGCCAAAGCGAAATTAAACTGCATCTAGCCAAAATATATCCTTATGTCATAAGCTGAAGTACGTACATTTATCGAGGATGGACAGGTCGTCTATAGTAACAGAAAACTCCTCAAATTCCTGCTCGATTTCTTCGTCCGTCACCATCTTTCTCGCACTGCAACACTTTGGCGCCAAATGTTTCATCGTCAGCTATCCCAGAAACCCATTAGAGTGGAAGCGCGTGAGTCGCGCGCGCGAGGGAAGATAAAAACACGCTGGCATGCACTTCCTAAAAATCTCAGCATAAGCGCGGCAATGACACGTCATATCCGCAGACCTTGTCCCTCGGTTAAAGAGCAGTCTGCTTGATTATTCAGCCAGGTATAGTAAAGTTTAGGTCTCGGCACCCTCGATAGCAGTTCTCGCCCCACCCTCCTCCCCACAGGGCCATACCGCATATTCTCTCCTGGTTCACAGACTCGCCCAGTCTCCCTTATCTTATAAATCGAGAGTTAAACCTCTATGCCTATAATTTCTATATGTTTGCATCAATAAAAATCACGCGCATTTACAAGGCGTTAAAGCATTTTGCTGACTTGCAAGCACCCATCTGTTATAAAGATCCCAAAAATAAAGGGACAAATCTCATAGTTTATTAGATATAATCGTGTAAAGTTTGCTTATCATTTTCACATAAATTATGACCTTAATTTGCAAACCACTGAATTTCTCGTATTGGGTCTTTACGATTTTGGTGAAACTCTGTTCAATGCAAGGCACTAATACGCACTATATTTAGGCGAGAGATTTTCACGAAAAAATGCCGGCAACAGCAGAATTTCGACTCAGACCAAAAAGAGGCTTGGCACTTTAACCACGTGACATTTACTCCGATCGCCAAGCATTTTATGCTATATTGTAGATTGATCTATATGTTATCAACGCTATATGTTAGACTCACGATCAAAGTAAAGGTGGGGATACCAGAGAGCTTCAAAGTAGGATGGTACCCTCACTAATAACTGGGTCGAGTCAACTTAAGGACCCACTAAAGGGGAGTCGTTGTGCCAGACGTTCCTAGCGGAGACCGTGGAAACTGGGACTAAGGCCAGGTTCCAAAGCCGAACTTATGGGCCGAACCTGTCCTAATACATTGAGTTAGTACGAGAAAAGTTCGGCATCTGAATCAACTAAGAACGGCTCAGCCGTTCTTTTCGCCTAGCCCGGCGAGGAATTTCGCCTTTTCAGCGACTTTGCAACGGATTTGATTCAGACACCGAACTTCAACCTCGTCCCCAGGGCGCTTTTCCCTGGCTCCAAAGCCAGGGAAAACAGGAAAAGCGCCCTAGGGACGAGGTTGACGGAAATTTTCATGTACCGAACCTAATGCATAAATTATTATAACGTATTTTGTAAGCAGTTTGACCGAAATGAGCATTTTTCGCGTTTTGAACTTAGTTTAGCTGCAATTAAGAACGACGTCTGAGTCAATTCAGCCGTTCTTAATAATTTGGGTCGGCCTTAAACGTGTCAGTCCACGAATTCTATCGCTTGAAAGCGCTGATTACTTTGGAACAAGTGAACACCTCTGAGAGGGTCTCAATGGGGTGGTGGTTTTTACGGTTATCGGCTAAAATTTGGGCTCTTTTACGGCTATCAGTAGCCTCCCACGCGGGCATTTTTAGGGGAGCTCGTTTTTCATCGTTTGTGGGGAGGAATGAAAAACGAGCTCCCCTAAAAACGCCTGCATGGGAGGCTAGGCTATCAGTTAATATTTTAATTACGGCTAACAAAAAAGTTTTAAAAAATTAACTTCTTTTGTTTTAAAGCGTTAAATATTAATAAACCTGTATTTTTTGTATCTTTAAGCAAAATAAAGGTCTTAGGATTATCTCGGTATGAAATAAATTATTCTTTTGAAAAATTTTAACATTTGAAAGATCATACTTTTAAGTATTCCAACTCTTATATTTTTTTACCCATACGAATGTCAACGGTTACTTTAAAGAAAATCTTCGTGGAAAAGCAAAAGCACACATGCGAGCGCCTAACTCGCTGCGGGGGCGCGACATCCAGTTATAACAAAAAAAAAACAAAATTCAAGGGTTCAGTTATATTTACGATAGGGAAGGACCCTTTGCCTTGTCCCTAGTCCGGAGTCCTCATTCTTCTGCGCGGCTAAGTGCGTTTCAGGTCACGTGGTCCGAGTAAGTTTTGTCTCGGATCAGCGCCATACAGGGGCTAGGCATGGTAATGTCTGGACTTGCTACCAGTCAACCTATCAGCGAGCAACCAAGTTAAAAAGGGAGTTTTAGAAAGTGTGGACAATGTATACGGTAACTTCAGAGAAAAACAGCGAATTATTACAGGGAATTGACGTTTATCGGCAACGTGTTTAACAAACCGTGTCTGCTTGTTGTTTCACTCAAGCACACGACCCTCTGAAAATCGCAAATATTCGGCTCCCCAACAAGAAAATCAGATTTTTCTATGGAAAAAATTAGTTCCCGCAAACATAATACGTTTCTACGGGAGTTTTAATTTGCGATCCGCAAGATAAAACTTTTACAAAAACTTCATGCCACCCGGTATCTTAGAATTCAAGCTAAGAGTATACTTACCGTTCAGCTGGCTTTCACCAACAAGCAACAGGGGTAGTTCCAGATCTAGCTGCTGCTGGGTCGATATAAAATAATTTTCTGTTTTGCCTCGGATTTTGGCGAGGCTTTACAGATTTTAGACTGAACTTCCTGGCTTGCTCGTTAAGGCTAGACTTTTCCACAATTCTACACCTCTGAGAAGTGTAGAACTAAGTAAAGAATGACAGAGGTTTCGTGACCAGGGGAAAAGTGTGACATTATCCTTAGTTTGTCAGACTTTTCCACATTTCCACTCCTCTGAGAAGTGTGGAACTAAGGATGAAAAAGGAAAGTAGGGATCTGGTGGCCAGCACTGGACATTTGTGCTAAGTGGTCGAAAAAAAAAAAAGAATCTTAATTAGCAAAACCAAGAGAGAATAAACTGCGATTGTCAGGTGTTGTAAACTTTCATTGTATACAAGTAGTCTTGTGATGAGCATCTGGTTTATTTTCGGCGACGATTGAAATACTAGCCATGTAAGTCACTTTTTTTATCGCTTGCAATGATGTAATTTCTCTGGAATAGAGGCCCGTGAATTTTCGTTGTCGTCGCTAACACGCGACTAAATCAATTCAGAAACAAATAAAAAGTATTGACGTCGATAAAGTGGGAAGTAAATGCTGTTTCGTGTAGAATTAATCGCCTTCTCATTTCTCGATCTAATCTCCAAGCAAGCGAGAGTGGCGCTGCAGTAAGAGCGTTCTTATTTCAACTCTTTATGAAGGCAAGAAAATTGTTTCTGTTTGACTGTAACCTGGCCAAAAAAGACCCAAATAACAAATGACTCTGGAGGACTTCCTTGTAGTCCTTTTTCCACAACTAAAATGTGTACTGTACTTCAGTACAACTTTTAACTTCTACTAGCGGGTATTTGGCAAAACCACACTCCAGACTTGGGTACAGTCGATTCCCACTTTTAACTCCAGACACACGCTTTACGTTGACCCTCAAGAAAGCTGTAAACGTCTTCGCGAATTAAATTTAACCCGCTTAAATTCTGATAGGTCTCGAAGTCTCTTTTTTGGGTCATTTTTGGTCTCAGCGAACTTTATCCTTTCTTGCAATGGTCTCGGAGAGTCTCGACTTTTTTTTCTGCCCACAGGTCTCGGAGTCTTAGATTTGTCTTTTTACCGTAAAGTTCTGAAAGTAACGACTCCTCGAAAGAAGCGAACCTCCAAAAGTAGCGTTAAAATGTCACAGGTGTTAGCAAATCCCGAAATAAGCGATGAGGCCCCCGAACATAGCCTGGAACCATACTTTTCAGTATTTGACCCTGTTTTTTTTTTTGCCTTTTTCCCCCACTGCTGAGCCTGGTCCCAGGCTACCCGAAAGTAGAGACCGCAAAAATATATTTTCCTTTTTGCAAAAAATAACGGATAATGATATGATAGACATCCTAAACAAATTAAATGCCACGTCCCTCCGAGGTTTATTAATAATTATCAGGATATGCATTATCTTTTTTCAAAAAGTTTTCCCTTTACATTTTTTGTGATTTTAGTTTTTGAAGTGCCCAGGTGGAGTACACGTTTTAGCCATCCGAAAGTAACGATCCTAAAGAAGGATCGTAGTTTCAGAACTTAACGCTATGTTTCTGTTTGGTCTAACTTTGAGAAGTCGAATTTTTCAAACTTCATGGATACAGCTAATCCCCCGGAGCTAATCGAACTGGGCTAGTCGATAGGACAGCACAGTCGTTCGGACACCCGCAGCAAGAGATCTGGGACCGAGGTTCGGGCAAGGCGTTTGTTTCAGGAAAGTCCCGCTAACTTTTCGGGCCCGAAATCAAACATTCAAATCGAAATACAAAGAAAAAGAGCGCGCATCCTGGCTAACAAACTACTTCATTTTGTGTCATTAAGTGATAGTTTTATCATGTTAGATGCAAAACTATTGAAACCTCAATCTTTAATGTAAACGAAGACAGCTTTCCGGCTAATTAATTATCGGGACTTTCGAGAAACGGGCCCCAGGTTAGGTTCGCCGGGGTTGGTTCCGGGTTGGTTACTACGCATGCTTTTCACAATGACCGCTGGAAAGAAAGTCGTCGTCATCGTCGCTGCCGCCGCGCAGATCGCGTTGATCGCGTTCGACCGTTCTTGAGGTCGGGAGGTTCTATCTTTCTAAGGAGTTTCTGTTGTACATTGGTTTCCGATGGCTGCTGACGATCAAGAGTATTATGGCTATTATTATGCCACTGAAGAAGACAGAGGGTTACTTGATCCAGCGTGGGAAAGACAACAGCGCAAGGTAATCCCTAGGAAACCGAATCGTGACTAGTGTAGTGTATTGGTGTTATCTACAAAATGAAGCAGAATTACTGCATGATTGATTTCCCTCTTATCACGGAATCCTTTATTATTGCAACGAGCTAAATGCGTTAACAGCAATATTTTCCCTACTATTGTATCCGCAGACCTTTACAGCTTGGTGTAATTCTCATTTGAGGAGGATAAAAGTGCAGATTGAGCAAATGGAGGAAGACTTCAGGGACGGCCTGAAACTCATGGCGCTATTGGAAGTAATATCGGGAGAAAGACTCCCCAAACCTGAAAGAGGGCATTTGCGGTTTCATAAGATTTCCAACGTTAATAAAGCTCTAGATTTTGTGGCCTCCAAAGGCGTAAAACTTGTGTCCGTTGGAGCGGAAGGTATGTTTTGGGGGTGTTGCTCAGACAAACTTCAATAGGCTATGTTCGTCATGTCTTGATTTTAATATTTTTGAGCATCTCTAAACTTATATATTTCTCTGATAGAAATTGTGGATGGTAATCTTAAAATGACTCTAGGAATGATATGGACGATAATTTTGCGGTTTGCAATTCAAGACATAGCCGTAGAAGGTAATTTTTTGGTTCAAGGACGCTTTTTCAAAAGTAAGGAAATGTATGCGTATTTTAAGTGAAATGTGTTTCATTTTCCGCGTTATTTAGAGTCGTTTGCAAAGGATGGATTGCTCCTTTGGTGTCAGCGTAAAACAGCTCCATACAAAAATGTCAACGTGCAAAATTTTCACAGGAGGTAAATTCAAATTATAAAAAAAGTAACTTAAGTTGCCTTTATTTCCTGGCTATGTTAACACAAACGTTAGTCTACTTCAGCGGTCATTAGAATGCACAAACATGATGTTGTTGCTGATTTTATTGCAGCTTTAAAGATGGCTTGGCTTTTTGTGCTCTTATTCATCGTCATCGTCCGGACCTTATCGATTATAATTCGCTAAGCAAGGTAAAGTTGTAGACGATGTCGTCCCTACTCCCCGCGTAGTTGTTTTGTGTTTGTGGACATAGCACTTCATTGGGTGTGTCACACATTGTATGCGTGTCATGTCTTGTCAGGCGTGATTAGAATTTATTTTTTGATCATTATGTTGCTATTATTAAATAACGTTTGTGGCAGATCCTTATCAGCACTTTAACTGAGATTCACTTAATTTTCAACCTTAAACAACGAACTTAAACTTACTTCTTGTTGTTTGAACTGATAGAAACTTACTTGAGCTTGTGCGTTTTGAATTTGGTTGCATTTGGGATTACTCGCATTTCACTATTGTCTTCAATATTCAATTATGATACTGCCCTTGAAAGGAGACTTTAAATTTGTAATGTTAATGAACTACAGAGGTTAGACCTGTGCTTTTACTTTTTATACACAGTTGTACCATTGTAAGTTGCTTTTAATCATTCAAATCCAACATTCTGCATTTTTTTCATAACAGAAAGTCCTCCCGTTTTTCCACTTATGCAAAATATCATGTCAAGTGACTAAAGTGTTTTTGCTTATAATGTTCAAATTATAAAAATAAATTTCTCTTAAAAGTGTCGTCTTCAAAACTGAAAACAGTAAGTATGGAAAATACACACATAATCTGGTTTATTTAAACAAGGGAAATTATCAATTTAAAAAGCTAAAAGCGAAGTAAAAAGGTTGAAAAGACTACACATACCTAACTGGTTTTACATGATTGCTGTAAGGGAAACTGAAAATTAGCAAGCTAACCAGTATATTTCCCTTTTGAATTGACTGCTGTTGTGGTATCCCTGTCTAATTAAGCGTTATTCTTTGTATCAGTATTTATTGATTATCATTCTTTTTTTCTCTTTTTCTCTCTTTACCATGTAATAGGTGAAGCTAAGAAAATAAGTGAAATAAATAAATAAAGTGACTGAGCTAGGTTATTCTTTGTGTGTTTTTCCAAACCTTGACACTTCTATAAGAAAAACTTTGATTGCAGTAATCTGTATGTGTTTTTGGAAGAGAAAGCTTGAAATCAGGGTTTTGTAAATTATACTTAGTGTGGCAAGGTGTAAAGAGATCTAAGAAGGGGCAAGCCCATGGAGGGACTTGAGCACACATAGCTTTCTTCTTTTAACATACAGCAAGAGTCTCCCAGTTAATTCTATAGTCTCGTGTATACTATGAGTATTTCGATCATAAGCACATCTGAGAGGATTCAAATTTCTAGTGATATTGCAGGAAGAATGGTGTCTATAAATTGTGCTGCTAATGTGGTTTATTTTCCACACCCCAAACTTTGCAGTGTATCAGGAGCGCTAGCAATTTTTTGCTTTATTTTTTTTCTTGACAAGTTTATTCAGTGTAGAAGGCACTCACAAACTATCATTGCTTGTTTTATCAACAGGAGAATCCTTTGGAAAACCTGAATTATGCCTTTGATGTGGCTGAGCAACATTTGGACATTCCTAAAATGCTTGACGCTGAAGGTCAGTTTGCAGAATAGAGTTCTACATGGTGATCTGATTATTTACTTAGTCGTCTTTGTCACAACATATATTAACATATATTAGGCATAACATATTATCAGTGAATCTTTTAGAATTATAATTGAGCTTTTCGTGGATTTGGTCGAAGCATAAACCAGCTCTTCTTTCCGTGTTTTTTGTTTGCCCCTTAATTTCAGCCTAGCATGCAGGAGAATCTTATTGTTTTTAATACTTAAGATGCCAAGACAGCGTGGGAATGCCCTGTTTCTAAAACAACAATGGAAACGATTTTATCTTCTTTTTTTATATTAATTTTAGTTGTCTTATGTACGGGAAAGAAAACAATCATAAGTTACGTTTTAGCTAAGCAGAAACAGCAGCCAAAACCCATAAAAATATTAAATCTGCATACTTGTATACAGCAACTTCCATTTTATACAGAAATAAATTGCCCTGCATTGCCAGTCGCGCTCTGCGCCTGTTAGAGAAGTATTAACAGCTTCTCCTAAAAACCATACTTAATAAACCATTCTATCTGAAAGGAAACATTTTAAACCTATTCTTAGATGTGATACAAATCAAAATGCGTCCCACTTGTCACGGTCAAAGTGATGGATTATGTTACAGGTGAAATCATGCAGAACAATCTTTAAACATCGATGCACGCCTCTTTTTTGTACAAAAGACATTTTCCGTAGGGTTTAGTTAACTCTGACTCAACCGGCCAACACCGTTATGAAAAATGTTTCTTCCTGTTGCACTGAACACTGTGCTTGAAGTGAGAGTGCCTGGCCTGGCAACCAGCAATTTCTTTTCACTTGCCCAAAGCTAAATGTTAGTCACCTCAGGCGACTGGGTGTGGTTAGAGCACAGCCTTGTAGCATTTGGCTAGTTGCCTACTGCCAAGGTCGAGCCCTGTTTGTTGTAGGTTTGCTGGACATTGACAAAGTGGTTTGTGTTCTGTCATGATGGTAAACCTTGAAGCACCATGAAGGTTCTCCCAAAACTAGAAGTTTGCTGACAGAAGAGACTCACAAAGCAGTTTCCCATCTTGGAATTTTTGTGTCAATGTGGTGCTGTCTTCCTCAACCTTTTGCTTCTGTGTGGTGCTGTTTTGCCTAATCCTTGCCCTGGTGTTTCCTAGTTTCTCCAGCCTTGCGTTTCACCTTGACTCCTCATAGAAAACTGCCAACTTCATGGATAGATTGAAAGGGCTCTACCCCAACTCAATCACAAAGGAATGGAGCGACATGGCAATATAACTCCACAGTATAAATGATGTCGTTAAATTGTTGAAACTTGGGGAGTCATTCGAAGTGGCTAGGTTTGCAGCTCAGATATTGTTAATAAATGTTAATGGGATTCATATTGATAATTTTCTCATTGAAAATCCTTGATGGACATTACACAATTTTTCGAAAAGGCCTTTATTTAACCCATTCGCTCCTGGAGATTTTGCCGAAAAACGCGTTTTGAGGCTAGTCGAGTGGTTTTCTGGTCACTGTCGTGCTATAAAGAGCTAAAACTTACCACAAACCGGTTTACAGGTTGTACACGTGGCGGCCTTCTGATCCAGATGCAAAATATTAGCTTGCGAAGTTCGGGCATGCGCAGAAAGCAAAATTTCGACATAGTTTTTGGGTTTAAAAGTGACACAGCAGTCTTGACTTTTACTTTTCGCTTTCTCTCCTCCCTTCTTTTTTCGCTTTTCTTGCCTCATTTTTTTTTTCTCTTGCTGGGCATTTAGTAGGCTTCATTTTGGTGGGAAGAGTTTTTAGGAAAGCTTTTAGGATCTTAGGATTAGGTGAAAGGAAAGGTAGGTGGGTAATGGAACAAGATTTTCATGGAGATTTTCAGGTCCTTGTCACGTGGTTTTTTGCTTCTTTCTCCGGTGACCTTGACTGAATTGTGCTCATTCTGGTATGGTTTGAAAGATCTCTTCACTCTGCACAAGTTAGCGAAGAAAGTTGTCCTTGACCGTTAAAACTGATGACGTCACAAAGGGTAGAAAGGACCTGGATCCGCATGGGCGGTTACGGGCGGTTCAGGGGCGAATGGGTTAAATGGTGGGGGTGTATTAACAGCAGTTTCCAACAAGTTGATAGCAACCCATGAAAGTACTTTTTATTGGAAATAAACCACTCTTCATTTGATTCATTTATAGAGCACCAAATAGTGCTTTCGAACCCTTGGAGTGTCTGGATCAAACTTTTTCTAGGCTCACAGTGAAATCTCTCCTAAATGTAGTACTAACTAGCAATTCCAATTTGCCAGATGTGCTCTGGGACAAAGAAGGTGGCTACTTGCTAAAACCCAGCCCTGCCCATGGTATGGAAGTAAACACCAAGCTCCTTGATGTTAAAAATGACCACTCTATGTTTCAGCACGTGGAACAAGCTACACGCAAAGGAAACATTCTTGATTTAGTACTCACAACTAACCCAAACCTAGTACAGAATGTCCAGGTGGTTGAGGGTATGAATGATCACAATGCAGTTCTTGTGGATATTGCTCTGAAACCATCCTTTAACAGGAAACAACTGAGGAAAGTTTTGCTGTATAAAAAGGATGATGTAGAATTGGATAGAAATGACTTGAAACTACAAGGTCTAGACAATTATCTCACTGACAATCAAGTGATGAAAAAGCTTTGTCCTCTAAAGAAATTGGGATTGTGCTGGAATGTACCATGGATGAATAGCTGAATCAAGCATATAATATTCAAGAAACCAGTAGTCTGGAAGCTCTTCAGAACCTCTAATACAGGTTGCAGCTCTTTTTTTTCTGTGGCTAGGGGTTCCATTGTTAACTTTGTTTGTTTATTGTTTTCCTAACCGGTTGCGAACCAATCCCTGTGAGGACTTCTGACGGCTGTAAGACTGCCCAAAGAAACAGAAACTGTATAACAGAGCACTCAAACCTAATAGCCAACTGAAGCTGATTGGAAGAAGTTTAAAGGTCTATGCAAAGCAACTGCTAAAAGGTTGACTTGTGCATGTGAGAAGTACCTGTTGGACCCCCTGATGACCAATAACAAGGACCATGATACTTGTAAACCTACGACGACCAAGCGATTTTGGACCTATATAAGATCAAAAGTCATGACAACGTTGGTGTCGCTCCCTTGGAGTTCAACAATGATGTCCTGTCCAACAGTTGGGGGAAAACCAATTTACTAAGTAATTACTGTGATTAAAATCTGTTTTTACCAAAGAAGATCTGCAAAACTTGACCGCTGAAGCTACTAGCCCGTATCCCTAGCCTGGCAGGGATAACAAAACTTCAGAAGGTGGACTGCAAAAAGCTAATGGACCTGATGGAATCTCTTGCTACAAATTAAAGGAGGCCTGGCTAAGGCAATGGCTTATGTGTCAAAGCCAGTCAGTTGCTATTGATGGGGACAACTCCCTGGAAGTGCAAGTTCTTTCTGAGGTCCCCGAGGGGACAGTCCTTGGCTGCCTTGTTTTTCTCTTATGCATCAAGTACCTAGAGAACATTGTACCTCAAAGATGTGCTGCTTGCTGATGATACTTTATTTTATTGAGTCTTATAATGATGCCAACAACCTACAGTCGGATCTAAGAGCACTTCAAGAATGGTCCCAGAAATGGCATACAAAATTTAAGTCCAGCATCCTAAGAATATTGTGGAAGCAATATCCGAGTTTAACTACATCCCAAATAGAAAAGTGTTAGATTTGGTCACCCACTAGCCAGGGTTTTCCCTCAATATTTTCCTTTTGGAGTCCTTAAGACTCCTTACACCAAAGGTTGAGGGTTCCAGAGGGAACAGTGGGAGTCCTAAGGTTAGCATTGTTTCAGATTCCAGGAAATCTTTGAAACATTTTCGGGTTTCTTGTAAAAAACAGAAGCATCACTACAACCGCTCACAGCCTAAAGTTCCATTATTGGAATTTATCAGCAGCATGTTGTTCTTAGTCATAAGATACACTTTTTTATGCTGAACAATGTGCCTGCTTGTAATTTCCAGGGTTTGATTGTCGATGTTCTTCTTTGCATTTGAAACTGTTGCTTGAAAACTTTTTCTAAGCTCGAGGTCACTGATACTCAAAATGTGATCTTTAGAAGTTTCGAGCCTTACCGGGGCCAGCTTCTGAAGATTGTTATAGCCAACCGTTGTGAAACGGTTTCTCTTACCTGTTGACTTACAGATATCGCAACCATGTAAATTCTTTCAACCAAGCAGGCAGAAAATGTCTCTTTTTCTTAACGGGCTCACTGGGCTGTGATTCCGAATCCACCATGTTTTTCCAACTCAGTTTCTGTCCCAGGATGCCTCACAATAAAACATTAGTTCCCAAACCTGATGGCTGTTCTCCGATTGGAACATAAAAAAGTAAGCTTGAGAACCTTTCAAGATTAAAAAGTCTTTATATTTCATTCTCAAAAAAGATTTTTTGCAGATCTACGCAGTTGTAAACTAATGATTAGTAAACTGTCGCTCTAGAACATGTGTGTCCTAGAGGACCGGTTCTATTTGGTGTTTTGCGTCCTTTCTTTCTTTGTCGGCTAAACGACGCTTCTCTGACGCGTATTTGCTCGTAAGGGAGTACCCTGACTAGCCCATCTAGAACTGTCTAAAAACCTCGACTGGAGCCATCATATAAATAACAAGTTAAGTGAATAAAACTGACACTCAGATTTCTCTGGCAAACCTGAACAATTGCACCAAGAGAGTGAAAGAAGTAACCTACATTTACAAAGTCCTTGTTCGGCCTCATGTGGAATATGGCCACCCAGTTTGGGACCCACATTTAAAAAGTCAAACAAAATTAATAGAGATAGTGCAGAGGAGAGCTGCGTACTTCATTAAAACTGTGATACATGGGAACCAGGAACAGTTGTTAACCTCTCATATGATTGAACTGGATACCACTGAAGGAACGAAGAACAATCTCGCGGTTAACCGTATTCCACAAAGCAATTCACGATGATGGTAGCCTGGCTTTCCCAGATTATGTTATGAAACATTGAAGGCATTTAAGGAAGTTTAGCCAGAACAAGTTTATTGAACAGCTATCAAATACTGAGACATCTGAGCATGGTGGTGTCCGTCTAGAAAGCTGGTTACCTCCAGTCTAAACCAGCTAACTTTTGTCAAGACATGCGCATATTGTATGCACGCTGCAGACTCCCTTACAGATAATCCCTTTCCCGCGTCCAGAGTCTGTACGGACCCACATACACTGTATACATAAACAAATAGGACTTACTGCATCAATAAGGTTTTCAGTTTTTATAGATATGGCTGTTGCAGCAATGAATGGAAATAATGTGAAAGTTATTGACAATCTGTTTTAGATATGGTTAATCAAGAAAAACCTGACGAAAGAGCTGTCATGACATACGTCTCTTCTTACTACCATGCATTTACAAGTTCACAAAAGGTAATTACCAAATAATACAACAAACTTGATAATCACTTATCTGAGTGTCTTTTATGCCATGTTTTCTCTAGCACTTGTGTCCATTGTTGAAAGGCGATTTTACAGGATAGAACTTGTGAAAATCATTAATACATAGTGCGCAAATGTCTGGGTAACTGCAAGACGCTCAATTGTGTTTGGAAATTTATTTTCGTTCAAAAATAATGCTTTGGGTTGGCTTACTACAGTTTTTGCACACCCTAAGAAAATACCTGATATCTTTTTTTTGAGCAAAAACAACTGCAGTTTTGTTCAAAACTGTCAATATTATTTCATTAAAATGCTTGTAGCTTGTTTTAACTTCTATAATTCATGTAATCTTTGAGAAGATGCTCAAGTTAATCTCACTAATTAAGTGTCATTTACTCCATTTTTACATCTGTATCCTCAAAAGGTAGGTTTAGTGCACACAAGTGAGTTTTCTAGAAAAATGACAATGTATCCATCAAAATGTTTAGACTACAGATTAACATAAATCATCTATCAGAGCAAAAAACATTGGAAATTTTTCACAACCCCTTAAATGTGCGTATACTGAAAATTGAATTATAACAGCTAAGGTGAGTGATAGAATCCCTTAAAAGGTCTAGATTTCAGTCTTCTTCCTAACTTGAACTTAGTTAGAACTCAGTTATATTATTTTATCATTTTCCAAAACTCATTTTGGATGCTTGTTGGATTTTCTTTTCAAGGATGACACCCTAATAGAAACCCCTTGCAGCTTTTAGTTTGAATATTATTTTAAATTTTTAGATTTCAGAATTTTTGTAATTTTTTGTCATTAAATCATAACTTCAGGTTAAGGTATTTGAAATTTTATCATAGTTAATTCATAATCTTAGCAATAAGTAATTCAAACTTTTAACATTATTTTTTAATTTAGGTTCTGCCGTAATTTCCCTGTTGGATATCTGTAAACAAGCCGTATGGCCAAGCATATTCACCATGTAAAATAAAATGTCGATGTCTGTGTCTGTTTAATATCATTATCTTGTGAAGACTGTAATAACAGCTCTGTGTTTTTTAATAGGCTGACACAGCAGCCAAACGAATTGGGAAAGTGCTTAATATCAACAGAGGCAATGAAAAGATGATGGAGGACTACGAAAATATGGCCAGTGATGTATGTACACTTATTACTTCATTCCCTTTAATACACAAGTCATCAGCCAGTGCCTTACTAAGAATTGCCCATATACAGATAATATACGTTGAAACTGTAGTAGCCCATACATGTAGCATCATAGTGAACAGGAGAGTGAAATAACAGATTGAGTCGGGTGCCACAGTAGGGAGCTTTACATCAAGAACATGACAGATCTGTGTTTTTCACATCAAAGGCTTCCTGCACATGTTCGACCATGTCATGAGTTAAATATAATACATATCAATTGCCCTTGTTTTGAACAAAATAAGTAAGAATATGTACAACCTACAGTCTTGTACTAACTTCCTGAAGAAATTTGCACCACAACCTTAGCAAAGTTGTGACATATTTTGTCTTGTAGCAAGTGTGATTTTAATTTTTTCCAGCAATTATCTTACCCACATTGATGAGCTCCATGGGGCAAGTATAGTTTTTTCTCAGTTGTGAGATTGACTCATAGTGCTTCTGTGAAATTATTTTTTGTAGCTTCTTGATTGGATCAACAAGACTATGCCATGGCTACAGAACAGAAACAATGATGGTACATTAAATGACATGCAGGTACAGTTCATTCAGATGTGTATAACATCTCATCACACTTCAGGTCTGGCTTCTTGAAGGATTTATGTTGATTCCAAAACATTAATCTGTTGATTGCAGCATGGCTTTTTTTGTGCTGTACAATGGACATGCGCACAACGAAATGTATTTATTTTGAATTATTAACGATGGCTTTTGTTGTTTAGAAAAAGTTAGATGATCTTCGAGTATACCGGAGAAGTGAAAAGCCTCCGCGTGTAGAAGAGAAGGGAATGCTGGAGACCAACTTCAACACCTTGCAGACCAAGTTGCGGTTAGGAAACCGACCTGCATACCTCCCTACAGAAGGGAAAATGATAAGTGTTAGTTGTGTTCTTTTCCATTGGTAACTAGACCACCTAAAGCAAGTTCAATTGCATGTAATGTTGGCAGAAATTTTTTCATGTACCTGAGGTTTGTTGTTGGTGTGTTCAGGAATACCAGTACTGTTGGTAAGAAATGTGGGCAAACATTGGCGTTTCCCTTAAAGATGCAGTTGATGCTAAGAACTCCTTTTACAATAAGTGGATAGTAAAATGTGTGTATGACTAAGATAGCCCTTTTAGTTCCAGTATCAACAGAAGAAATCACAATGGAATTATGAATTTGGAAATGAAATTGAACAACACAGTCAACAAGACTCAGATTGAATTCAACTATTATATTTAGAAGGAAGATTGCTTAGATAAGCTCCCAATGAAAACAGCAATACGCGACAATGCTAAATGTGGCAACTGCATGAAGTCTTAAATTATGGTCATTCAGTCTGTCATTCAATCCATGTTCAATAATTCAAGGTCAAGGAGACTGAAAGGTGAATCTTGAAAAAGCTTACTTTAAAGTTTATTGAAGCTTTCAGATGGCAAGTGATGTAGCATGCTTGGAAACATATCATATTAAAATCACTTTAGAGCTAAAAATAATTACTCAAAAATATGAGAGATAGAAAGCAAACAATTTTAAAACCTGGTTTAACTAAACCGACATGGCATGGGTTTATAGACTATGCAATTACTTGTATTTACCGGAGGCTTGTCTGCCACTAAGCTGAGATCAGGCTATACAGCTTTTGTTTCACTTAGTAATAGATTTATGGTGGGCAAGTTGAATTGAAAAGTCTGCTTCTGTTACAGAAAATTACGTGTGGATGTTTTAATGAATCAAAGTATCAAACAAACATTGTTCCAAATACCTCAGAAATTTACATTCAGGTGATTACCTCAGGGATTTTAGATGAACCTTCATCTCAACACCAAGGACACATCCCGGGAATGTGGACAGATTTTGCTAAGACCCTCCTGTTCTGTCTAAGAAAGTGCAGCTGACTACCCCACTAACAATTCATCATTATAAACCATTGCTTGCTTTGTCTTTTGTTACCTTCTAATCTAGGACATAAACAGAGCATGGGGGAATTTGGAATCAGCAGAAAAAGATTATGAAGACTGGTTGTTAACAGAAATGAGACGGTAAGACCATAAAATTATAATCTTTTATAAGACTGTTGAGAGAGTTGTGCTTTTATTGTCCTCCCAGAGTTTGCAGCCAAACATGTATATATTTGCAGAATTTATGAAAAAGTAAAGAATAAAATATGTTGTTACAATGAAAGGAATTTTGAATCTCAATTTGAACACATAAGATGTGCTTTGTTGTGTCAGGTAATAATTGTTACATTTTTTATTGTAACCTCCAAGCTACATCAGAAAATACCCTTAAAAAATAGCAGAATTATTTCTGTAAACAAATAATCTTTATTTTCATCAAATGGCAGGGGCAGATATAGGGAGAACATTTTTTACTAAAACTTATAATATAATTTTTTGAAATGTGAACAGTGTTGCCCTGTTTTGTAAGAAGCAAGCCTGAAGTAAAATAGAAAAGCTTATGCTACTTTAAACAAAAAGGTTTGAGTTTAATTTTACAACAAAGTTTCCTCAAGAACTTTGGCTAGAAAATGTCATAGTGATGGACCATCAATAACTTCAATGCTGTTGATTCTTGTTAAAGTCTTGTTTTTTATCATTTTTGGGTGTGTTTTTGCAGTGTCTTGAACTCATCCAGAGACAACATTGTATGATTTGTTTATGAGCAACTTGTTCTCCTTATCAGGTGGTAACTGGTAAAATTTACCACCTGAAGCAACAGTTCTTTCCTCTTGCAAACGCTTGAAGGTTTGCTAAGATTAAATAAAGCAGAATTTAAAAAAAAAGTAGTTGTAATCCGATCGGATTCTCACAAGGAAAATGAATAAATATGTATGGAAAAGTACTGAAGTATACACAGCTTTTCTTTTTATGGGTCATGCATTTTGGAAAGAGAACATTGGAGTCGGAGTGAAATAATTTAATTGTTGTCTTAAGATAACAATGGCCGATTTGCATAAAATAGGTCGTAAAATGAGAGAATGATATTTCAGAGAACTCAGCTCCTAAATTTCTCAGCGAGGGTGAGGCCGTGTCCCTCTTTTTTTTTCATTTTTTTATTTTTTATTTTTTATTCCAGACACACAAACAATAATAATTACAATACGTTACATTTACAATACATTACAATAAATTCTAATTATCAGTTACTAAACAGGTAACTGTTATTGTTTAGAGAAGGGCAAAAAGTGAAATAAAGACAAAGTCCACAAAAATACTATAGTTTATATATTAACAGTTAAGAGAAGACTGCCTGGCTTATGTTCCCCCATTCCCCATCTGCCCATTTGTCGCTTGCACTTTAAATTAGCTGTGTAGATCAAATTATTTTCTGAGGGGCATTGTTTGAAAGTAGCCCATTCCTTCCTAAAGGAGGCTAAGTTATTATCATCAAAGGCAATCTGTTTCTCAATTTCCATGGAGCATATGACTAACTAACCTCTTTTCATTACCCCTATCCCCACCCCCCTCCAAAAAAGGGTGCACTTCTGACGCATATTTTTTTGCCTTACTGGCTGTGAATGGTCCCATACCTGCTGCGTTAATTAAGGAAGAACACTGTTATGAGACATGTTATTGATTGTATGCTATGCTTCTTATTGGTAAGCAAACAACCAACAACCTCCATGGCCCCTTTTGGAATAAACATAAGGGGAGAAGTGTGTATGTGTTATTTTCTTTTGAAATTGATTTTGTCCTTTTGGGATGGTGGCCTTAATTTATGACTTTGACCAAACCTCATGTGATCAATGACTTCATAGCACTGGAGCAATTCTCAGTTATGTGCCCTGAGTTCTTTGTTTTTTCCCATCTCAACAGCATGGAACGACTGGATCATTTAGCAGAGAAGTTCAAACACAAATGTAATATTCATGAAGCATGGACCTCTGGAAAAGTTGATACTTTAAAAACAGATGATCAGGAGAAGGCTACTTTGGCTGATGTGCTGGTAGATAATCAGTCTTAGCACTAAGTAATGTCGCTTCAAAAAGAAGCAACAGTAAATAATATTTAGAGAAGGCCATATCCATATCTATATCAGCTATGTTTTTCAACTAACACATTTCAGTAGGCACTGTTTGTAATAGTTACTGCAGTAAGGACTTCTACCCACGTCTGCCATGTCCACAGATTCTACAATTTGCAGTTGAAGGGGTGTTAATGCATTGCAAGCAAGGAACTACTCATTTAATAGACAAAATTAATTAACTAATTAAGGGAGAGTTTAATTTTAAAATGCTAAGGCTTATGTTCATGTTATGTTTTAGGCCTTGAAGAAGAAACATGAGGCATTTGAAAGTGATCTAGCAGCTCATCAGGACAGGGTTGAGCAAATTGTTGCAATTGCTCAAGAGCTCAAGTAAGCATTACCATCATGATAAAGCACTTCTAGTTGTTAACCTTCAAGAAAGCCCATACCTTCACCCCTACACAGCTGGGATTGAAAATAATAATGTTATGGCACTTTTTTGGTGTGATTCTTGTGATATGTGTTCGGTCCCTGAACACTATTGGTGGTCCCATACAATCTCATTTTGGTCTGTATTAGGATTGTGTTCTATGTCAAACAGAATAAATACTCACATGCTAATGATCAGGGTCTTCAATTAACGGAGAAGAAAGTGCCGCCTTTGTAATGACATCCTGCAAACAGACGTTCTAGTCTTCATGGATAAGAACAAAAAAACATAGGTCCTGTCTCACAGCACTTTCATTTGTCTGGTTCTCATGGGATGCAACAGAACCCACACCACTGTTTGGAAAGAGTAGGGGGCGTAGATCCCAGTAGTGTGGCTAACCTTTCCTAGGCTGGTGGACAATATCTGTGAGGAGAGATCTTAACATAGGGTTAACTTCATGATGCTCCTTCAGGTGTTGTTATGGCTACCGGTAAACAGTGTATTTACATGTATGTAAAGGTATTTGAAAGCAATTGGAAAGATTTGGTACACTCATCGAGGCCATTACATGTAATCATGATATTTTTGTTTTTAGTGCACTCGGTTACAGCGATGTTGCCTCTGTAAATTCAAGATGTCAGGTAAGAATCTCTTGAGTCATAAATAAATGAAGCGCTTGGTGTGAGAAAGTCCCTTTGATAATCTGGTAACTCTGGAAAGTATTGCAGTAAACAAAATAATCAGTAATAATAGACCATTTTTGATATATTAAAATTCAGACTTGTCACTGAGCCCTGAGGGAAATGAGTCATGTTGAGGTTCAGCAATGAGTAATACACTTCTTTTGGCCTCAGTGCCAAGTCTGACTTTTAAGTTATTGAATTTTTTTAGTTTGTCCTTTAGTACAGTGGCCTTTCAGAAATTGATAGGCCTATTGAGTTTGTGAGAATGCATCCTAATCTGGTGTTTCTGTGGCACGAAGGCAGAGGTTTTCGAGCTATCACGGGCAACTGCAAATTAGCCGTCCCTATTAATTTTTTCAGGGGCACCTCAGCCAGGAAACTGTACTCTTTCCACTTGATTTTGTTTCCATAATTTTCTGTAAGTCACGAACGTGGATCCGTAATCAATGATTACCTCTAGTATGGATAGCATTATTCTATGCATTCTTACCCCTTTACTATTGTCATCAGTGTTGTTGTGTCTTGATGGAGCACATCTTTCTGGCATTTTTTGAGCTTTTAACAGGTGCTTCAGTTTGTGAATAGACTTCTTTTGCTTGTATGTTTTGTTTTTCTAATAGAGGTCCCAGGGGAAGTTGACCCTTTGTCTTTCTTTAAATTATGTGTAGATATGCCCATGGATAAGATGCGAGTTGAAAGAAACATGGTGTATTTGAAGTTTTTATAAAATTTTGTTACAAAAATAATCATTTCAGGGCTAACCGTGGCCGGTCATGTTGAGCAGCCAAGCAAATTTTAGGTCGGTCATGCTAGCCGGGTTCTGGCAGGTCAAAATATGGAAAATGTTTGAAAATATTTATTTGAAAGTAATAACCAATTTTAAAGACAAAAATATTGCTTCATATGCTCAAAATACTTCTTGCATTGCAAACTACGGAAAATTCAAAGATACAGGGTACGTTATTCACCTGATATTCAAAGCATTAAAAAAATGCATTTTATTGCAGATGATAAAACATGCAACAAACACAGAACTTACTTTCTTTCTTTCTTCTCTTTTTCTGTTTTATAAAGTATTGCTCGTGTGTTGTTACTCCTGTCCAGGCCACTCCACAATTTATGCTGTAATAATTGCTTGTTGATAGCAGACGTTAATTGATGCGATATTGTATTGTTTTCCATTTTATTTTAGTAACCAGCTTATTGGCGTTCACAAAGCTGTGAACATACACATCTCAATTTATGACTGGGATCATTATGGTTCTGGGGAACTGCCCACCTACCCCTCCCCTATTTTTGTGTGATTTAACTGTTTTTGTAATTTACAGAGTTAATGTGAATAAATTTATTTTTGCAGTTATTAATTTTAAAGCCATGCACTTGACCGGTCAAAATGACTGGCCAGCTGTCATTTTGAGCCCTTAGTCCAGTTGTTTCAAGGTCGGCTAGCACTAACCTTTGTCCATCAAAGTTTGGACAATGATAGTTATCAGAATTTGCTTTGTAAGGTCTCACTTCTGAATTCAAATTTTGTACTAACCCTGGATTATCTTAACCCAGCTTTGAACAACCCTGCCCTGGGTGTTTGTTCTTGAAGTAACTTTCATTAAACAACGTATTTTCAATTTTGGTTAGTTGCACTTAAGCTCAGTTTTTAAATTACCTGTGTTTTTTAGACAATATGTGATGAGTGGAAAGATCTTGGAACCCTTACAGAAGAGCGTCAACAAAAGATTGAGGTTTGCAAAGATTTTAATTTAAATGTTGGCTGAGTGTGTGTAGTTGTCCAACACTTGACTTTCTTTGTTAACTGCAGGAACGTCAGAAGTTACTTGAAGCGTTGGACAATCTGTACCTAGAGTTTGCCAAAAAAGCAGCGGTATGACATTTTGACATTTTTTGTCTCATTTGATTTGCTTGCATTACATTGCATTGGGTAATATCAAGTTGTGTAAAGGTTGATGAACAGTTTTACATCTTTTTAAGAAAACCAAATGGCACTGTGACTTTTTAAAAAAGCTAATTTTTATAATCTTTTGAATAGTTCCCCGTGATCATTTAGGTTTTTAGTGGAGGAAACTTTTTGTGGCGTTTTATCGTTTCACACTTGTTTTTTGTCTTTATATATATTTTTTTCAGGACCTCTCTGAAAACCACCCTGGTGAGAGAGTCTCCTGGATAAAAATTATTGTTATTATCAATGTTTTTATACCGTTTCGCACCAAATGCCTGCTTTGACAGAAGGGAATGAACATGCTGACAGACAATGTTCCTTTCACAAGGGTTCCCCAAACCAATGAGCACATGCTATTATTACTAGCTATCTACCATATGGCAATGAACGTTTTGGGATGAGAATCAAAAATGGAATTGAAGTTGACTAGTGCGGCAGTTGCAGTCAAAGTAAATTTTGAACTGTACAATAACAAGATTAAAAATCTTAACTGAAGGGCTGGACATTTTGTCAGAAATTTGCATGGTTTAGCATAACTGAGTAGTTGAACCTCAGGACTTGAGACTTCAGCAAATCGAAACAGCATTCAGTGCCAGACTCAAATTGTGAGTCCAATGCTGTACTGACCAGTCTCGTATGTTTTTTTGTTCTCTTTGAAGCCATTTAACAACTGGCTTGAAGGTGCTCGTGAGGATTTGATGGACATGTTCAGTGTACACACTGTGGAGGAGATAGTGGTATGAAGTGGCACAGTTATCTCTTTGTCATTTTTATTGCTTTTTGAAATGTCATACTTTCTTTATTTGTTATTATTTATTTATGGTAACATCTACCTAGAGCCTTGAAAACTAAATTACAAATGTTGAAAACCGCACTAGTGTTGGGGTAGTTTTGAAAACGAAGCACTCGAAAACGAAGATCGAAGCACGAAGCACCCAAATCTCGAAAACGAAGCAACCACAACTCGAAAACGAAGACCCCTAAATCTCGAAAACGAAGCACCCAAAACTCGAAACCACTGTAGGTTTAATAACTACAACTTTACGTCTTACATGACGCAATCCCAATCAGGTGGAGGCAGCGGACGCGTCCGCACCTCCAAAGGTCCACGAAATCCATCACAAGGTTTTATAAGAGCCTGCCAACTGTTTAACTGAACTTTTCTAGATAGGATATACTGTATTAATTTTATTATTGGTCTCGCTATACTTGATACATCTTATCTTAATATGCATTTTTTCGGTACACATACATGCTTCTGTAGACTTCAAAACTGTCCGTCAGCAGATTTTCGGTTACGTTGAATTGATCGCATAATAAAAAAAATGCACTTTATAATATTAGCGTGGCCCACCAGGGTTGTCATTAAGAGCCGGGGGCCAGGGATTTTCCCCGGCTACTAAGAGAGTGGCCCCCGCCTACTTTTATCGGAAAATAGAAGAAAAATAGAACCAAAAGAAATCCCTGGCCATTTGATTCCCCGCCTACTTGTTGTATTTACCCAGCAACTTGAAATCTTGGTGACAACCCTGGTGGCTATGTATTAAGCACGAAAGTACTAACAGGGGACACTATTTTTACATCTCCTACTGGAGACGGGACCGCCATTTTACATGGTCGTCTGAGCCACGCGAAGGTCTAGCCGCTTGCAGTGCAAAGGGAGTACCTTCATTTCTCTGAATATTGGTCCTGCCCCCGGGAAATGAACCCGTGACCTCCCGCTCTGCAGTCACATGTTCTACTGACTGAGCCAACACTAGGGTAGTTTCGAAAACGAAGCACTCGAAAACGAAGACCGAAGCACGAAGCACCCAAATCTCGAAAACGAAGCACCCAAAACTCGAAAACGAAGCACCCACAAACTCGAAAACGAAGACCCCTAGATCGAAAACGAAGCACCCAAAACTCGAAAACGTGGTATTTGAATACGCCAAAATTAGAAAATACATACTATCAACAAAAACACACAATAAATAAACACGAACATAGCGAATCAATATCCAATCTACGCCACAGCTGTAGATTTAATTAATTGTTTTGGTCGTATAAATTTATCTGGGCGCTAATCAGATCGACCTTATGTAAAGCTATACGTATATATATATTGTTTCTCATAAAGGAGTGTTTCCCCTTTCACCCAACTCGAAAATATTGTAGCTTTCTTTGAAGGTCAGATTTGTTGTTTCTTGTTTGGAGTGATATTCATTCTCCTTTGCTTTGTATTGTTGGTGGTGGATAGTTGTAACCTTTGTCTCTTAGATACAGTAGTAATATTTGATTGTATTTATAAAGGAATTGCAAGATGCTCACCAGCAGTTCAAGGCAAATATGCCAGCTGCCGAATCAGAGTTTCGGTCGATCGTTGACTTAAGAAACCAAACGAAGCAGATATCTGATCAGGAAAACCCTTACACCAGTGTGACTATAGAGGTTTGTTGTTTAAACGTTCATTAAACATTATTTAGATATTTCCTAATTATCCTTTAAAATTTGTTATCTTTATGAATATGTGATGCCAATTAGCAGTTTGTTGCATGCTGCAAACTGAAATTAAAATCCGCAAGTTTCCTAATCTTGGTAACCCTCAAATGACTTTTTTTGTAACAAACAGGATGCAGAAAAGGTCCCAGAAAAGGCATCACATATTCTCAAAACCTTGCCACTGCAGAGGTTCCTGCCAACTTATCGCTGTCTGGAAAGTTCCTTGACACACTGGTTGGCAGACCGCAACTAACAACGCTTCAATTTTTATTCACAACTGCTAAAGTGTATTCCAGCGTATACAGAACATAATGGGAAACACAATCCTGCATAAAGGATTTGACATTGCACTGTCAACTGTACAGCCAAGTTGCTTGCAATGTAACTAAATTGGCTTCATTCTTCTAAGATTCATTGAACCAAATCACTGTTGTCACATGCCATTGTAAGTTTCATTGTGCAGATAATGAAGTATTTTAATTTTGCATTTTGGAAATTTTGTGGCGGGAATTTGTATACACTTAGTAATTCTTGATAATGTAAAGATTAATGAATAAGAGAATCAGATCAATTAGAATTAACCAAAGTGAACCCCCCTCCGAGAAAGAAAATCTTTGAGTTCAAGGCTATATGGCTAGCAAGGGTATTTTTCTCAGGGGCTTACGACGTAATATAAACTGTAACGTGTTTTTCTTACAAATTTATAATTCTTAAAGAGAAATATTGTTGCCATAATAAAATTTTGCAGTCTTAACGAATAAGGCACTGTTACTATCGTATTTGAGGCGATTTCTTGCTTTACAAGGCCCTGTCGATACGTATCCGAATATTTCTTAATGCGCAACTTTTCCTTTCCGGATAAGGCTTCCGTCCACACGTATCCGGTGAATCCGGCATACGAATCCGCAACTTTTTGAATCCGCTCTCCAGAGTGGAAATTTTGGAATACGCTATGAATCCGGAATAGTGTGGCTGCTAAATCCGGATATTTTTTATCCGGTGACGTAACAAGATCGAGCCTATAGCTCTTTACCGTCAATACTGTGTTCAAGATGGCAACCTCAACGCATGCTCTGTTTCCAATATTCCCAGAGGAGTCCTGGGTACTAGAGTGAATCCGGATACGTGTGGGGACTTAGGACCAAAGTAAACCAACGTTTTTTCTGTTTTATTCACAGGAAATCTCCCTAGCTTGGAGTGAAGTTTTAGAGTTGGTTCCAAAGAGAGACGAACTTCTCGCGAATGAAAAGGACCGACAGGAACGTATCCTTTCCAACTTCTGGGGACAAAAACACAGTTCTTCCGAGTTCTCATTCGTTAACGATAATTTCTCCTTAGCAACTCTAACCTGAGTCGTTCCCTTTCCTGTCCTTTAAAAAAGCCTTTTACTTAGGCTACAACAACTGAAAGTGTGGTAATGGTCGCAAGTAAACCGTATTAGATTGTAAATGTGTACGTTTGAAAATAATCAAGTTATGGCAACAATTCTGTTTTGTTTATGAAGCAGTTTAATTTACCAAATATCACCATGTAGCATAACACAAGATGCTATCGTCATTGTGTTACTAGTCGTATTTGAACGTATTTATGCGGCCTTGCTTGTTTGGGTAAAGCACCCGATCGTGACTTGTTGTTTGTAATGGGCTGGGATCATTTCTCCTTTCTCTACGTTTGTGATATGACGCCAAATATTCGACAAAATGAATCAGTTTTTACCATAACTAACATAAGGAAATGAAAGACTGAGAGTGGAGTTTGCTAAGAAGGCTAATGAAGTGGGACCATGGATTTCAGCAAACGAAGAAAGATTACGCTCTATCGCTCTGAACATGCAAGGACCTCTGGAGGTAAATACTTTGCTTCAATACTCACTGCCTACTTTAAAACTCTTAATGAAGTTGGTATCATTTCTCTGTAAAGAAAGGTAGTCAATTGAAAATGTACCTCTGTCTCTGATCCAACTCTCTTGGGGTGATCAAGTGGCATTGTTGTAAGTGTTGTAGAGCTCTCATGCAGTAACAGTATTGTGGCGCCAACCCTTGACAACAATTAGTCGGCTCATAACTAGGTTGAGTATCATCGTCTGGGTGAACGTAGTCCTGAACAGGACTGTTGTCGTTGACAGTGACTGACGTTTCGACAACCTGTTCGGGGCCTGTTCGGTAGTCATCTTCAAAGTTAAACTGAGTTGTATCCCGTTGTAAGTGTGTATACGTTGCAGACGTATCTTTGTCTTTTGTTTATAGAGTCAACTGAATGCTGTACAAGAACTTGAACAAAACGTTGCACAATACAAACCTCAAATAGATGAGCTGGAGTTGGTTCATCAGGTACGTTGTCTCTTTTCTTCCCCAATATAATTACGCGTGTGGCTCGCTTCGTCAACTTATTCGAGCAGGAACTTTTGAATGGATGTGATTATCAAACTCGCACGAACCAGCAGAATTAATTCAGGCAGTTAGTTCGTTTTAGTTCTTTTCTTTAACACGTGATAGTTCATCACCTGGCAACGAAACCTAGACAACTGACAATTGACAACTTGTAACGTTTTGGGTAGTTTTGCTTCATTTTCGTCAAATGCTGAATGGAAAACAGCTCCACCAGCTTCAAGGAGCGTTTTGGGCCAAAGTTTCCGCGGCTGAATGTGTTAAGGTTAGCGGATACCTTCGGGGTTGTCTCACGGTCGAGTATCCTGTATCAACGTTTTCTTACATCAAAGGGACGGACCATTAGAAAACTTATGGGGGGGGGCGGGCGACGTTCGCGCAAGGGAAAATTAAATCCTTAACCCCTAAGTATTCAAAAAAATTCATACAAGTTTGGTAACGAAAAAAAAATTCTTCGAAAATTCATAACTTTTCTAATGGTCCGTCCCTACGCCCTTAACCGCTAAAATTGAAAGCGGTTATTTATTAATAATATTATTATTACAATATTAATAATAATATTTTTTCTCCAATTTGACTTGTTCTCTTGTCTCTGGACTCAGAGCGTTACTGAAAATGCTTCGAGGTAGTACTTATTCGATTTCAACTGGATAGTTACAGAATATTTTGCAGGTACAGTCGACTCTCGGTAACTCGAGCCTTCAAGGGAAATCGAAAAAAGTTCGAGTCATCGGGAGCTCGAAGAAAATAGCCGGGAGTAAGGAAAAAACAGTTTTTACTGCACAGTGAACATTTTAATCACATTTCATTGTAGAAATGTTAAGTGAAAATTGAAAGATACTTCTAGATTATAAATCAGAACGTAACCTACTAAGACATAGCCTAAATAGAGCATGCGTTTCACTGTTTTGAGAAGTAAAGCTGTTTCACGTTAGATTTGTGACAAACAACATCAGCCTCCACTAGTAAACTATATGCCTACAACATGTCAATGGGAAATTCAAAATTCAGTGTTTCGGACGCCATAGAGCCGTGTTTTTTCCCCGACTTTTTAAGGGCTCAAAACATGGTTCGAGTTATCAAGGGTAAATTACATAGAAAATAATGATCTGAGGGGAAACAAAAATAACTTCGAGTTAGCGGAAGATTCGAGTTATCGAGGGTTCGACTTACCGAGGGTGAAGTTACAGTAAATGTATGACGGAAATCCAGGGGAAATCGATTTTGGTTCGAATTAGCGCGAGGTTCTAGTTAGAGAGGGTTCGAATTATCGGAAGTCAACTGTAGGAATAAAAAATTAACGTGTCCTGCAGAACAAACTCTAAACAGAAGCGATAAAAAAGAATCCGTGACACGTTTTTGTGGCTTAGATGTTGACTGAACTAACCCCTTTTCAAATTTAAGGCCGAAAATTGCCCTTCAAGGAAACATCTTAAAACCTTAACTTACGATTAAAATGTAAAAAAAATGTCGTCATTCACTACTTTTCAGCAATCATTTTTTAGATGAAAGATCATACGCATAGCTTTAATTTGAACGACGAAAAAAACAACCAAAATACAGTAGCCCATCTTAGAGAAGTTGACTTTTCTTATGTAAATCATGTTTTTCTTATGCTAACTGGAATTTTTCAGTAAGAAAACAGGGAGGTTTGCATGAAAACCAGTTCAAACTTACCTTTTCGAAAATTTCAGCCAGAAAAAAGGCTGCCGAAAATCCTAGGCGACCTTTTAAGGGTAAAAATCCGTTAAAAATGGGAAATTATACCATTTTTTAAATGTTCGAAAATCCTAGGAGAGGTAGACAAGCAAGAAATTTTACACCAAATGTTCCGAGAATTTTAGATCTCAAATCGTCTTCCGAACAGATATTTTCCGAAAATTGTCGTTGGGTGCGCCTGTTAGGTTTGAAATTAACTTTTGTGTCTCCACAAGACTTGGTTTGGTTGCCCATGAAATATTTCAGTCGTCCAATTCAAGTTCTTAGCGCAGTAAATCCAAACAGGTAATACACTGAGGTAGCTCAAATTATCAACAATTTGATGTAGTTTTTTTTTTGTTACAAGAAAACGGAATACCGACTTAGCTAATGAGTCAATTTGGCTGTCTTAATGCGCCTCACTTGTTTCGTGTTTTTGGATCCCGTCAAGGCGAAAATTATCGTTACCTGTTTTGCTCCCAAATGTAGATTTATCTTTCGAAAAAACCGTCGGCAGTAACTTCAAAACATAGCATTTTCTTTCGCGTTTAATTGTAGCCAGGGTCGGGAAGTGCTCCACGACTCTTAAAACTTCAAATAACGAGCTTTTTTTGAGCTTTCTAATTCTTGCACCTCTAAATAAAGTCTGTAGAAGTATAATCTCTCTTTGTGGATTCCAAATTGAAGTAGCAGATGAAGTTGGCTCATATTTTACAACTACACAAAAAACACACATGGTGGAAACACAAAGCATATTTCACTGCAGTCCGTTATGGACTACGTTTGCATACATCTGCTGCTGGTTAATGCACAACAGCTTCTTTCAGGCTAAACGTTAAGTTCGGGAAGCGAGGAGAAAACCTCTTTTTTTTTCCGCGTTAGTTTTACTTGTAACTAAATTATACGTGTAGGTATCATGAACTCTTCCAAGGCAAAAAGCTGCTGCGAAATTTATTCCACTATAGGGACCAATGCTGGCCTAGCAGATTGCGTTGTCCTAGGGGCATCTCAGCACAAATTGCTTGCCCCATAGATAATTTGTTTTGGTTGTCTAGGACAACCGGACAACTGTTAATTTCGACCTCTGCTACTGTAGTGAAATAGCAGACATGTTACTGAAGTGAACACAGTAATCATTGAATGAATGAATTGTTAAACTAACTATTTACGGCGCGTTTTATTTTCAGGATGTTCAAGAAGCTTTAATCTTCGAAAATCGCCACACAGAATACACAATGGAAGTGAGTAAAACTATTATTTGTTTTGTCTTTGGAGAGTTAAATAGAATTTTTGGGACCTGAAACTGACTGATTTTACTTGATTTATCTTTCAGGCTCTTCGGGTGAAGTGGGAGCAACTACTAACTGCTATCGCTAGAAACATCAATGAAATCGAAAATCAGGTAAAAAAAAACTATAAGGATTTGATATGTTTGTCAGCCCGGTTGCATTGCAGGCGTTTTGATAACCTCCATGTTGAATTCTGTGAGGCTTCGAGAAGTTGATACCCCTACGCCCACCCCAAGGGTACCAATTTCTACCCTCACCATTCCTCTTCAGTGATTGAATCCAGCAAAATTGCGGCCACGGGATCAGGAACATAAACAAGGCTCCACATTTTTTGGAAAGTTTTGTACTGTATTGAGTCCACAATTTTGATATCTGCCCGACAGTTTTGAAGACACATAGTTACCGTAATATGTGTATTTATGTAAGAGGAGTTTTCCTTAATTGCGGCCAGATAGTCACTTTTGTCACCTCTGTTTTTGTTGTTATGGACGAGAGACACTTGGTGTTTTTGAATAAAAGGTTAATGAAGACAGGGGCGTATGTGACAATTCCGTTGAAATGAAAGGTTGCTCAGAAGTCGCAAAATTGTTTGCGTGCCTGCCCATTTTTTAGTGGTAAACCTTGTTCGAAGAAGGTAAAGTAAAAGATACCTGGATATCTGCGAAAAAGCAGACAGTTCCTCAGAAAGTTTGCTTCGTTGAGAACAATGGGCTTAAAATTTGTTGAACCCAGAAAGTAAATTTGCAGAGACGTGCAATGCTTATTCGAGGAGAGCTCCTTTTTACAGTTTACGGTTATACACCTGTAAACCGTTTGATTATTTTACAGATCCTAACAAGAGATTCAAAGGGCATCTCTGAAGAACAAATGAAGGAATTTCGAACCTCCTTTAACTTTTTTGACAAGGTATGTAAGTACGTGTTTGTATAGCCTGCGTAGCAGAGGCTTGAAAGTAGTGGTCGCCGGCCTGCCCCGTTCTCTCTCTCTCAAGCTTTTGCAACTCAGGTTAGTCTTTTGTATGGCCTGCTCACAGACCTGTTTTCTCTTGAGAGATCATCGAGGGCGTGTATAGCGGTAACAACTGCGGGGGATTTATCGACCGCTAGTAATTTAATCTCACTCCATTACCTTGGTCGCATCAAGGCAATCTAAGTTATGGGAGCCATCCGCGACGGCCTTGGTAAAGATGTGCAGCGAGGCTAAATGATGTGGTCACCGCCACCAGGAGAGGTGGGAGGGGTAAAAAGCGCTTCCTGCAGGCAATCCCTTCAAACTGCGAGATTTCACACCACGCTGCCAAATTTTGGCAGAAGACCGCAAAGGATCATAATCGGCGCTCGGATTGCCGAGAACTCTGGGATTGGTAGAACGCAGGCATGTTTCCGAGATGGGTTCGTTATATATTCAGTGAAAATAGCGTAGAGGGGTGGGGATGGGACTTTGCGCTCGGCAATTGAATCGAAAGAAAACGAAAATACCACACACATGAAATATTTAAACGGGTGAGGATTCTGTGGTGCGATGCTGGACCCCAGGTTTTGCCAGTGCGGACACTACTAAATTGATTGTGTTTTTTTGTGTATGTGATACACAAACTGTAAAAAACAACAACAACAACAACAAACAACAAAAATGTATAAATGTTTTTTTTTTTTCAGGATGAAAATTCGCGTCTGGAGCCTGGCGAGTTTAAACAGTGCTTGGTCAGTTTAGGATACAATCTAAAGGAAGGAGACAAGGTTTGGCAATGATTATTATTATTTTTGATTTGTGGTAAGGAACAAGTTATTGTGGGCACTGCGATATGCAAATGCGTCACTCGAGTGTAGACACCGTTCGTAATTAGTCGGCTCCGCACGAAAGCGCCCGATATCGAAACGACAACTGTCTTAGATCGATCGTTCCTGTGTGCTGAGCGTGCATTGTGCCCAGAGCTTTTGATGTTATGATTTTGTACCCTTCCATGGGGCAATAAGTTGTCTTCATGTGGACTTTGAATGTTTCAAATTAGCACTATAGCCAACTTCGAGACAGATAGACTAAGACGTTTACGAACTTTTGAAGCTTTTTGACTCGTCAGGCAATAAACATAACGAAAAGATCAGCAATTGCTCTTCGACTCCCAAGCTGGTCTCAGCTGATGATTCTTCCTTAAGTGTCCTCACGACAAGACTCCCAATCGCATGGTTTTTAGCATTGTTCAATAAAAACGGCAATGTTTACTGTTGCTGAATCGTAATTGATTCTCCTCATGTAAACGCCGAGAATTGCATGGCATTTGTCAGCCATATGTTCTTCAAATGCGATGAAATGAGTTAAAGTACGGCTTTTACCGTCAAAACCACGCTTGTTTTCGTCGAATATATCTTTCAATTCTTCATAAATAAAGCCCTGCTAGCTTCAAACAGCGTCCACCGGCAGAATTTCATGGGCAAAAAATGTTAGATATGATTAATTTAACGTAAAGGTGTATAGTTAGCTGTTGTGGCGCAATGGATTTCGCGTTGTCTTTACACGCCTAAGGTCTGGGGTTCGACCGCTACCGGACGAAATCCTTTCTTTTTTTGTCGTTTTGTTTTGTTTTGTTTCGCTTTTTTAAATACATGTTTTCATTTTTTGGCAGACTTAAATTGCAAGTTAATTATAAGCTTAATTTATTAATTTTAATAATAATTAATTATTAACCGATAACTTAGCCATAGACAGCCTTTGATTTCCCTACAGAATTTAAGCTTGTTTATTTTTCCTTGAACAATACTGTGAAGTTAACATGGAAAAGCGTGTTTTAAACGACAGTCAGTTACCCTAGCATTAATTTAGGCCGCATCCACACGTATCAGGGTAGGCTGAAACCGCATACTTGATATTTGCGTCAACACGAACTCGGTGTTGTGTATCGAAGCATCCACACGAATACGGTACTGCGCTTTACATTTAATAACTACTACCCATCAGGCATGCGCAAATCGGTTTGCGATGTGATCTCACTGGCCTTATATCGTTCCTCGTTCTAGCCAGCTTTTAGCCAACATTTCACATGTCTCAAGCAAGAAAATGAAGGGGAAATAACTAGGCAAAGGCCAATTCATTCGTCTGGAGTGGCGATAAAGCGGAACCCTTACTAAAAAGCTAAAACCAACAACTACAAGACATCGTAGCCAGTGGAAAACGTCCTCGACTGGCAATCGCTTCAATGCAAATATTCTGATAAAATGGAACTGTTCAAAGAACAGTATCCAAGTAAACGGAAGGCATTGGTTCGTTGTTTAAAATTTGCAAGTTCCCATTTAAGCCTGGACCTGAGTTTATGACGTACGTTTTAAAAAATATCCGGTTTCAGTCGTCTACAGGAATTCGCCAAACCCGTCGGATCTAAAAGAATCCACTCCGGGGAGAGGTTTTAAAAAGATGCGGTTTCTGCGAGAGGATTCACTGGCCTCGTGTGGACTGAATGTTGATTCGTATTAAAAAAAGGTATGCGGTTTCAAAAATATCCAGATTCGTGTGGACGGGACCTTGATGTCGTCATGTTCTAGTTCGGTGATTTTTTTTTTCTTTTAGTAGAGGTCGTTTTAGTCTCCCCAATTAGTAAGGCAATGTGCCTGAGACTTTTTAAAGTTCATTATTATTATTATTATTTATTTGTTGGGAAAACCGCCCTGAATTCTACCGCACCCTTCTAGAGAAAAGAGATCTCCATGCAAAGAGTCAGGTTATTTGAAATAATCAAAGTATTCTCACGAACGAAAATTACAGTAATTGGTCAAATCCTTGATTCAAAAAAGAGGTCCATATCAACGGGTCTTATTATTTTGTCACTCGCTTGACTGGATAATAAACTCGATCTGGAATGCTAAACGAAACAAGATCGATAACAGAATAAGATACTGGTAAATGCCCTCTTGAGGAAAATGAAGTTAGTCACTGACTCTCTTGTCGATGCGACTTGCAAGGAGTCATCCATATTTTGGAGTCGCTTAACCTATGTGTCTATCACATTTTCGCAACAAGTGTGGACATCTAGTGCTCTTTCATCACTCTCTTTTGCGTTTGAAAGACATGAATTATTAACGTCGGGAGCGGTTGAAAACAAAAATTGAATAAATTTTTTACAATTTTACTCTGCTGCGCTTTAGCTGATTGTGCGCGGCACATGTGTGTTTTAGTGTTTGTTTCGTTATTTAATTTTCGTTCTTTTTCTGTAAATCTCTTTTTTATTATTTTTATTTACGTATTTTTATTTCATTTTAATGAAAAATTACATGACCATTACAGATAGTAAGTACAAAGTTAACATTAAAATACTTCGACAATGAATCGAAGGGGGAAAGATAATCACAAAAAAAAACTCTTGCTTTTTGATATTTACGTTTTGAGTTGCTAATTTTGTTCGTAATCAGGAAGTGGTACAAAGATCTAAAAAAGAAATATGTCAGGCATTTAAAAATTTGTCTTTCCATCGTAGGGAGAGGAAGAGTTTCAGCGTCTTATGACTATTGTGGATCCAAACAATACAGGAACTGTGACTTTTCAAGCATTTGTTGATTTTATGACCCGAGAAACTGCTGACACTGATACCGCTGATCAAGTGATGGAGTCCTTCAAGATCCTTGCTGGGGACAAGGTAATACCACTGACTCGCTTGAATTGCAGCTGTGTGACTCCCGAGTCGCTAGCTCTCTTGTGAGACGTCTGAAAGCCCTAGGCGTCAATTCCTTCTAGTGACGTCACTACCTCAAAACCGGGCTGTAATTTTGATTGGTTGAAGATTGTCGAACGATTCTCACAATTATATGTAGTTATGAGCAATTTTAGTGCTTGCGCGGACAGGAGTCAGTGTGAAGTTCAAAATTTCCATAATCTTTATCGTTAACAACCGAATGAACTTTTCCATCTCGTATCTTTTCAACTATAACTTGTTAAATTGAACTTCGAATGAAGAATCAATGCAGAAAGTCGGTAGGTTTTCAGTAAGAGCATTCTTCTCTAGGAAGAGGTTGTGAATAGAGCCGGAGACGCACTGTGTCTCTTCTCATGTGTTGTCCGCTGGACAGGTGTCGGTAGACCGCGACTAGTGAAAAACGCAAGGTTATTACGAACCATTTAGTCCCTCAAACAAACGGAGCGCAGCCTCTTATCCTTCAATCACCCCGGTTATTACCAATGACAAATTACTACTTTGTGGAGCTCCGAAATGTTTTCTTCTCTTCTTTAACTTCTGGTAAGATAGACTTACCAGAGCACTTAATCCCTAAAACAGTAAATTCCCTAAAAAAGTAAATTCAAAGTGCTTAAATGACCGTTCAAGCGATATGTGAAATCCAGTATGCCCTAGTTGTTTAATACTGGATACCAGATCTCTATCCTGTAGATAACCCAATTTTAATACTAATCTGTTGGATATTGATGTATCTGTTAGGTATCGCTATCCAACGTTTGATTGATGGTCATATGTTGTGTTATTTGTGTTACACAAATTCCAGAAAGGATTAGTCTTCCCCGTATAAACCACTAACTTTTGATGGCCTAACCACGGTTTGGTTTATACGATCCCCAACTCTCGCACGTTTCTCTTGACGCCCGGACTCAGACAGTAGAGTTAAATGATTTGCTGCTTTTAGTGTAGGACATGTGCCAGTAGGGCGGATAACATCCTCCTTATGCTCATGTTGTTTTTGTTTTTTCCTTTAGCCGTACATCACCGTGGACGAGTTACGGCGCGAGTTGCCACCTGATCAAGCTGAATATTGTATTGCAAGAATGGCACCTTATGAAGGGCCAGACTCAGTCCCAGGTGCTTTGGATTACATGTCCTTCTCCACTGCTCTTTACGGAGAGAGTGATTTGTAACGCTAATTAGAATCTGATATATATCGCTTTTATACAAATATACCTTACTATAGGGGAGAGCTTCTTTGCGCGACCTAGGTAGCATGTAGATTGTAATATGTGGACACGATTGGTCTTTGTAGCTTTTTCTCTGTTTGTGTGTGAGTACAAGGCAAAATGTTCAACTGTTTTATGAAACCGGTTTGGTTGAAGTAAGAAACACCAGATTGATTCATACTCTAATCTGACATTGATTATGATGGCTGGTGGTTTTCTTAATACAAGAACATTGAACAACTTTCAAGTTTCCGCGCTGATTCTCGGAAACGTTTCAATTTTTTTTTTCCAGCTACCGAAGCGTAGCAAGTGTCATTTTGGTAACTAGTATAATGCTAGCATTTTGTATTTCCCTATCTTTCACTGGCTGGGCTTAGCTGCTTGCCAGTGGGCATCTCTTACATTTGAAAACGTCTCCAGAACGGCCACTTTTACACCATTATGCACTCGATCACTCTAGCAAGTATTTAGGTTTTCAAAACTGAGAAGTTTTATTTTCTCAAAGGTACTGGCCGTCTGACTAAATTAACACGCATGCCATATTATGAAGTAGGTTTCGGCTGTTAGTAACTCGAGTGTCACCTCCCCTTCAGACAACGCTTTTTATGCAGCATAAACAAATCAATTCGCTTATTATCAGTGTGGTACCATAGGTCGGGCTCATTACCTTAAAAATGCCCCACTTGTTCGAACGTCGGACAGCGCTATTCACTGGATAAATCTCAGCTATCCTGTGGATGACGCAATTGCTTTCCCTAATTTTATCACGGTACAGTGGATAATATCATCCAACGTTTGAACAACCGGGGCCTGGCCTTAAAGCGGACGGAAAATTTGTTACCTTATGGATCACGATAATTTTAAAAGTAAAATTAGCCGTCCTACATATATGCTCACAGTTGCATGTAGGGATTATAATGGAACAGAATTTTATCCCGGTTTAAAAAGGCTTTATGTATAGAACAGTTCTAATAACAAAAGATTATTTTTCTTGTCTGTAATTCATATGAAAACAGTTGTCCTGTAGTAACATAAAGACATGTAAGAACAGCCAAAAGTACTTAGGGTAAATAAAATAACCAAATCATTGATCATTAGTGTAGTCTCCTATTCGTGTTGTTGCAATTGCTGGTGGTCTTTACTACGGTGAAGTACCAACTCAGTTACAAGTTCAGAGGCCGCCTGCCACGCCGTAATTGTGTGGCGAGTATCGGCAGATAAATTTACCAAAAACCGTCCTTTACGTGCTGAATTATTGCCCTCTTTACTTAGGTCGTGATTCCCGTTTCTCCAACGCTATCTCGCAGGCCAGGTAACTTCTCTCGACAGGAACCAAATTAAAAAAACAAACAATTCCGAGGAGGAAAAGCGCGGGTCTTAGCTAAAAAGCCATCCTTTTACTTTTGTTAACTGACAGTTTTATCATGTTAGCTGCAAAACTATTGAAACCTCTATAATGTAGATAATGTTATTACAGCAGCTTTCCGGAAACTTTGAAGAATCGGGCCCCTGGTTAGCCCTAGCTTGCAAATACAACCGAATCTGATCACCCACCGTGGCCGGTCTGAGACGGAGCGATTAGAGGCCGCTTTATTGGCAGGCTAGTCCTTGGTCCGGTTTTCCAATCTCCGAAAGCAACAAATGTAACAATCTATTCAGCCTGGTAAGCCCAAATCTCGGTTTCGTTGAAACGTTTTCCCTGTAATCGCGTTAAGGGGGAAGAAAAAAAGCTTTAAATTTTATTTACGAGCAAAATGAGTCACCAATAAACATTCATAGTCCTCTTTCTATGAAGTGTGTAGAGGTATGACAGGCCATGGAACTGGATTTTAGCAAGCAGTTTTATAAGAGAAAGTTGTTATGGTTGTTGTAACATTTAGCCTTTTCAACGGGCTCCTTGGTAAGCGTCCTTTTTTTCTCCTGTTCTCCACCCTTTGCACACTGGAGTCTGTCCACGGGTTCTTTATACCTTAGGTAATTTTGTACAAACTATGACCCTTCAGACAATGGCGTACTACATTTTCATTGTTGAATTTCCCGCAAAGCTCTTAATGTCTCAGCACAGGTCTTGAGGAGTTCACAGAGCTGCTGACATTCTCCTGTAGAGAGAGCGCTGCTGAGTGCTTGACTTGCCCACAACATTTTCTCGTTAACAGCGTGCACGGCTGTGTGTACAGCATTCTGGCTTGTAGGTGATTTTACCACGGAAATCAGTTCAGAGCGCTGCTGTGGATGGGACGCACTTGCCGATCCAACAGGACGACTCACTACAGAAAGGAAAAACCGAAATTACCACCGTGTTGAACCCTTCAACGCGTCTAAAGCACTAAAATCTTTAAGCTGAAAGTAGTTACATTAATATGTATAAATTGCCAGATGAAAGCGCCATTTATTACAATCATTACGAATCATGACGATGTAATGAGAGGTTGGATCGATTTAGGTTTCTGGGAAACTGCCCACCTACCCTTCCCCTAAGTTAACATTATCTCGCACTTCTCACTTTGGGCACAATGTCGGCTTAGGGGAGGGGTAGTAAGGCGGTTTTCCCGACCTAAATTGATCCGAGAAGTTCAATGACCAACCTCGTTCCCAGGGTTCTCTCCCACTCGCCCTAAGGAGCGAGTAGGAGAGAACCCTGTGAACGAGGTTGTCCAATGACTGACCTCCATGCAATGTAACGGAGCAAAACATTCATTTGATCATAGAAATTGAAACAATAATTCATAGTTGTTTCGACTCTATTAGCTCTTATTACCCAAAGGCGCTGGAAGCAGACTCGAGTTTCCTGATTAACTAACTGACCCTTCCTAATAGCACTTACTTGGACAAACAGTGTCTGTTATCCACGGGAAAAAATTGTAAAACTTTACATACATGACATACAATACTAACGCACTCAGATACTTCAACAAAAACAATATTAGAGCTATTGGTAAGTATGGAACTGCAAGTACCTGGTGCAGATGGGGCGTCGACTTCCTTACAAGCAACACAGTAATCTTCCTGGTCACGGTACTTTAAAAGAACATTCTATGGAACTCAAAAATAGACCGGATTAGTTAGAAGAAAAAGACTCTTTAACACAAGTGCAAGATTTTGATGATAGGGTCAGGCTGATTGGTCAGGAGCTATGGTCCATGAGAGCTGTATGGAACAGGGAAATGACGCAATGATGGCGTCTGCCTCTCGTGCGCGATTTTCCAAGTCCATGGCTCGTGGTTTAACAGTTTCCACTTGAGTTCGTAATAGTTTGTCGTCATTTCTATTAACACTGTCTAAGATATTGAAAAGGTTTTTATTTAAGGTTATTTTCCGTAGAAATTTCTGCCATAACATGAAACAGCAATCTTGAATATAGCCTCCCACGCAGGCGTTTTTAGGGGAGCTCGTATTTCTTCCCTGGGGAGGGAAGAAATACGAGCTCCCCTAAAAACGCCTGCGTGGGAGGCTATCTTGAATAGTGCTTATATGCGTTTAAAACAATTCACTCGGTAACCTAGCATTTATGGACTGATGAACTACAAACGGGTAATACTACCGAGTTTTTAAAACTTATAGAAACGTTTATCTACTCCAGATAAGATAATCTCTTTTAAGTACATAAGTTTGGCCGTTTTTATGCTAGAGACGTTTAAGTCGTCTTAGGACGACTTTAACGTCTAGTATAAAAACGGTAAATAAGGCAGACGACTTTAACGTCTGACGACTTTAACGTCTTCTGTTAAGTGCGTCCGAACGACGCACTTAACAGACGACTTTAACGTCTCAGACGTTAAAGTCGTCTGGTATAAAGACGGGTCGTCGTAAACTAGGACGCATTTATGCTCGACTCGTCCAGAGACGACTGGGACGAGTGCAAAACAACATGGCAGCCAAGAAGAGCGGGCTTGAAGTTCATTTTTGGCGCCGCTTTAACTCGTGTCCAGTGTCTTCCGAGATTAGAGCCTAGTCCTTTTTTCAGAAAAATCTACTTTTTTAAAGGAGGTCGTCTACTTTTGTGCGTCCCGTTTTTAAACTAGACGACTTTAACGTCTCAGACGTTAAATGCGTCTAGACGACTTTAACGTCTCTAGCATAAAAACGGCCTTTATGACTATTTTTAACCTTGGCGGTTCTAAAAAGAGCCGTTGGTTTTTTGTTTTATTTCGTACCCACAGTGTCACTGACAGTGTGCAATATCGGGCTGAGGACGGAAAATACAGGGCCGGGTTGTTCAAAGCCGGGTTAACATAACCCAGGGTTAGTACAAAATTTGAATTCAGATATGAAAGCTTAAAATGCAAAAATTCAGTTTAATTCTTTTTTCTACAATTTGATGATTAACCCATTCGCCCCTAAACTGCCCGTAACTGCCCGTGCGGATCCAGGTCCTTTCTACCCTTTGTGACGTCATCAGTTTTAACGGTCAAGGACAACTTTCTTCGCTAACTTGTGCAGAGTGAAGAGATCTTTCAAACCATACCAGAATGAGCACAATTCAGTCAAGGACACCCGAGAAAGAAGCAAAAAACCACGTGACAAGGACCTGAAAATCTCCATGAAAATCTTGTTCCATTACCCACCTACCTTTCCTTTCACCTAATCCTAAGATCCTAAAAGCTTTCCTAAAAAATCTTCCCACCAAAATGAAGCCTACTAAATGCCCAGCAAGAGAAAAAAAAATGAGGCAAGAAAAGCAAAAAAAGAAGGGAGGAGAGAAAGCGAAAAGTAAAAGTCAAGACTGCTGTGTCACTTTTAAACCCAAAATTCAGGAAGAGAAAAAGAAAGTCATTGTCTTGTGTTCACGTCCTCGACACAACGTGAAATTAGGCACTTTCATGTTGTAATCATGCTGCAACAGCAAAGAAATGTACAAAAAACAGTGATGCACGTGCAAAGTTGTTTCACCAATGTAGATGGCGGGGAAATGGCGACAGGAGATGCGATAAACCAAGCCAGAGGTTTGGCAAGAAAATGCCTTCTTAGTGACAAAAGAGACAAAGAACACGCCTTCTTAATGAGAAAAGGGTAAAAGCCAGCAGTCTGGACACCTTAGGTCACAGCAAGTGACCAGATACCCACACAGACTTCCAGCTTCTAGCTTCTAGCTTACAGTGACCACATTGTAAATAATAATGATAATAATTTAATAATTATTATTATTTTATGTCAACATATCCAGGTGAGTGGCTCTTCATCTGAAAATTTGATCAACTACCACTGAGCCTCTACATAGGTACCTATGGAAGTCTGTTTTATTGCACATTTTCCATCAAATCTTTAACTATTTGGGGCAAAATCATTGCTATCAAGAATTGTTTTGTTTGGTTATGCTACTAGCGAGCTCAATGCAACCACAACAACAATGGAAACAAGAAAACAAGGAAAACAAACAATATGCCGCACACTTTTTGGCATGTTTCCTTGCATGGTTAACATTGTCAAACTTGATTTAAATCTTAATACCAATGCGATCATCACTTATTTCAACAAAAAGCAACCAAGATGGTGACGACTACAAGTGAATTTGTGCTACTTGAAACTTTATCGCACTCCAACTCATTCAATTCGTAAAATGTTGGCAAAATTTTTCTGGAATTGAATTCTAAAAGACTGTATCAAAATTCAGGAAGAGAAAAAGAAAGTCATTGTCTTGTGTTCACGTCCTCGACACAACGTGAAATTAGGCACTTTCATGTTGTAATCATGCTGCAACAGCAAAGAAATGTACAAAAAACAGTGATGCACGTGCAAAGTTGTTTCACCAATGTAGATGGTGGGGAAATGGCGACAGGAGATGCGATAAACCAAGCCAGAGGTTTGGCCAAAAAATGCCTTCTTAGTGACAAAAGAGACAAAGAACGCGCCTTCTTAATGAGAAAAGGGTAAAAGCCAGCAGTCTGGACACCTTAGGTCACAGCAAGTGACCAGATACCCACACAGACTTCCAGCTTCTAGCTTCTAGCTTACAGTGACCACATTGTAAATAATAATGATAATAATTTAATAATTATTATTATTTTATGTCAACATATCCAGGTGAGTGGCTCTTCATCTGAAAATTTGATCAACTACCACTGAGCCTCTGCATAGGTACCTATGGAAGTCTGTTTTATTGCACATTTTCCATCAAATCTTAAACTATTTGGGGCAAAATCATTGCTATCAAGAATTGTTTGTTTGGTTATGCTACTAGCGAGCTCAATGCAACCACAACGACAATGGAAATGAGAAAACAAGGAAAACAAACAATATGCCGCACACTTTTTGGCATGTTTCCTTGCATGGTTAACATTGTCAAACTTGATTTAAATCTTAATACCAATGCGATCATCACTTATTTCAACAAAAATCTCTTAGATCATCGCTTCATCAATGGTTATCCTCTTGACTATAATTTTATCGGAAATACCCATTCAGAGGCTCATCGGTACCACAGCAGTTCTTTCACAAACCCAGTACAACATGCA